TTGTTTCCATCCAGGTCAGTGAAAAAGTAAAGAGAGTACTTGGAAAAAGAGCTTTTTCAGAAAGGTTTTTTTCCTCATTAGATCTCCTGCTTGTCCCCGCTTGTCCCTTCTCCCAAGATGCAGAGTCCCTGATGCTGCTGCCACTGTTCAGGACCTACACTAAGAGCACCATGATCTTCTTGGCTCAACCAAGCATCCCACAACAGCCACACTTCCTCTGCACCTCTGCAAATGCTCTGCCCCTGGCTGCTTTTTTAATACTGACTTGAAGGGAAGACAGAACTAGAAGAGAAGGTTTGCCACATTCGAAGAGGCTTTTTGTTTTTTCTAGGGCAATTAAGTTGACCTTCCCTTTCTGATGGATATTATTTCCAGGTGAATCTAATTTTGCCCTTACAGGAAGAAAAAAGATCTGAGAAGGAAAGACCTGAAAAGCTTTCAGTTTTTAAGAGAGAAATTACTAGATTTTCCCCAAGATATCTGTTCCCTTAACTTAGTTTTTGCCAAGAGGAAACTAACTTGGATGGTACGAGGCTATAACAGTGTTCTCAGGCACTGCTGGTGGAGTGGAGGGTTTTGTCTCTCCTGTATCCATCTAAGGGAAAATTCCCCCCTGCTTCTCAGGGCTTAGATCTAAACTGTCCCAAATCAATGCCCACAGGCCAAAAGCTTCCACAGAAATCTTTTCTGGCCCATTATCTTCATAATATTTTTGCATTTTGACCCTGATTCTCCCCCAGGAATCTGCGTTCAGAGTCCTAAGAACACAACTCCTCTGCCTTATTGCTTTTCTAAGTTTTTTTCCTACACTTATCTTCCTATATTCTATCTTACCCTAAGTTTTTTTCCCCACACTATATTCCTATACTTAACCCTATATTTTTACTTAATTTTAATAGATAGAAATTAAGAGAGAGAGAGAGAGAGAAAGAAAGAAACCTAGACAGAGAGAGGTACTCGCTGCAGCCTATTTCTATACTGCTTCATATTTACAGTTATACCTCCCAAAGAATAAAATACCAATGCCCTTATACTGCACAACAAAACTGGACATGTCCAACTGCTTCCATGATGTTCTTTTCTACTCTCACTTAACTTCCTCTGCAACCAAGACCCTAGTTTCTGGCACCATTTGTGGGGGACCTGCCCCCACCTTTTACAGGGTTCCTATGAGGAGGAGGACTAAGGAATATTAAGTAGAATGATAGGCCTAGCCAAGGAGAAGAAGAAAGACAGAAACACAGGATAGCTTCAGGAAGACCTGGATCAAAATCTACCAGCCCTTTCTGTCTCTTCTAAGGGGCTTTTTAAAGGAATGCCAAGGGGTGGGGCAAAAGACCTCCTCCTTGCTAGATCAAAGCATACTGCACATCCAAGTGCAGACCCTTCCAAACCATGCACGTGGTCAATCCATCCCATTATGCAGCCCTGTTGGGTAAAGCAAGCTCAGATCTCACTAGGAAACCTCTGTGGGCTCCCACAGTCTGATAATCATATGCATGCGGATAAGTCCTGTCAGGGGAAAAGCCTGCAGGACTTACATCCCTAGGCCACTGCCTTTGCATCCAGTGGCTTGGCCACATTCGCCTAAACCTGTATATTACTGACTCCTTTCATTTTGAGGGGTACTGCGCTAACCACCTGGAGTCCCAGGAGATTCATTCAACTATTTGGAGTGGGCTACCAACATTCAATTTAGACAGGATTTAATATGTCACATAGATTACCAGCACATGTGTAGTTAACAGCTCCTTAAAATAAGAATAGATATAACTGGGGATTGGGACCCACCTCCTGGGTGTTTGGACCGACAGTGATAGCAAGGATATGGTCCAATTATGTCAGCTCATCCTAAAAATATAAAAGGCTTATGATCAGACTGTTTCTTCTGCTAACATTACAAAAATATTCCTTTGTAATCCCAACTGACCTGAGCTTTAGTGTCTGTATATCTGTCTTTTCTTCATTCCCTAAACACCCCTAGTCAGGGTTCTACGACCTGGCACAGGTTGATGTGGTGAGGCCCAGGACAGAGGAAGTTCCAGCCTAATGTAGGACAATAGAGGAGGAATATCTGGGCAGCAAGGAAGATTTAAGTAATAAACTCACAGAGGCTTGGAACTCAGGCAAGTGCAGCAGAGCACATCATAATTCAGGACACTGAAATAACCAAAATGACCTCTTTGCTGCTTCTCCTCCCCCTGTGGAACAAGGGACTGGGCCTGCCCTAATTTCAGGCTGACATACACCTCTAGCTTTCTCCTGCTTAGGACTCTTCAGGGAATGGTGTCTGGGTGGTTGAAGGCCCACACTGAAGAGCCAGAGAGGCCTGTGTTCAAATCCACTTATTTGCCTCCTGGCTCTGAGTCTTGTTTGGGACAAATGTGTTCTAAGTGTTCATCAATATTTCCAGCATGGGATACAAAGGGATGTTAGGGATGGACATCTGTTATTGTTGTGTGTATGTGTATACATGTACTCATGGGTGTACATGTGAGAACAGGTGCATGTGTGTGTGGAAGCCTGAGGTTGACGTCTTCCTTGATTACTCTCCATGCTAATGTTATGAGACAGGGTCTCTCACTGAACCTGGAGCTCACCAATTCAACTAGGCTATCTGGCCAAGGAACTCCTGGAATCTGGCTGTCTCCATAAACCTCCCACCAATGCCCCACTGCCCCAGTGTTAGGGTTACAGACATGCACTATCTAGCTTTTTTACATGGCTGCTGAACGTGTCTTCACGTTTTACATGGCGGTACTTTACTGACTGAGCATCTCTCCCGCCCTACATTTTTTTAAAAGGCAATTTTAGGAGCTTGGGGAGGGTTCAATTGGTAAACCTGACTTCAATCCCCAGAATCGAGGTTTTGAAAAGAAGTGGACAATTGTAATCCTGCAGATGGGGAGACACAGACAGGATTCCTAGACCAGTCTTGTCTACTTAGCAAGTTCCAAGCAGAAGACCCTCCCTCAAAATATGGTGTGCAGCACTCCAGTAATAACACCTGAGGTGGGCCTTGAATATCCACGTCCACAATGTACCTACACACTTATGCACTGCACACACATGAACACACATACAAAAAAAGGAAGTTTAGGAGGCAAAGGCATGAGGATCTGCTCAAAGGCACCTTCAGCTATATAGCAAGACCTTGTCTCAAAAAACAAAAAAAATTATTTTTACTATGTACCAGCCTCCCTGCAAATACTAACTCATTCAATCCTTAAAATCCCCCAATGCAATTGGTATAAATTGGCACAGTGCTGCTGGAGTGCTGACAGTATTAGACTTGTGCATGTGGCCTTGTGACATTCAACCCAGGCAGGCCGGCTTTTCCCCACAGGATCTGGGCCTGACTCAGGAGCACAGTCAAGGAGGAAACACACTGCAGTTACCTGGGATTGGAGAGTCCACCTACAGAAGAGTCACTTTTTTCCCCTTCTTTTTCTGAGGCAGAGTATCACTATGTAGCCCTGGCTGGCCATGAACTCTGAGAGATCTGCCTCTGCACCACCACCCCTGCTGGGTTTAAAGGTGTACGCCACCACACCCATGGAGGGACACTTGGAAGATAGCTGTTAGGTGCTTCTAGTGTGATGGTAAAGAGCTCCCACCATGCAGTTCTAAAAGGCAAATCAAAGGCTTTGAGAACTGAGCTTCTAAAGAGCTTCCCATCTCCCAGTCAAACTGCCCATTGCTCAGGTAAAAGACCCACCAGGTGGACCACACGGTACAGATCAGGTCAGCTGGCCTTGCCCTCTCTTCCACCTCCTTACTACCTGCAGCTGCCCTTCCACCCTCATTTCATCACCTAGGTCCATGGGCTGCATCAGGAACCCCCAGTGTGCCTGACCCATTTCCCTTTATCTGCCTGCTGCTTGGGAGAGAGGGTGGCCTGGATCTCTAGGGTCCTGGCTTCCCATTCCACAGGCTTTGCCAAGTTACTACACAGTCCCCACTTTCCAACAAAATCTGAGGCCCGGACCCTGTATCAGCAATCCTCTGCTGCTCCATTTCATCCTCACAACCACGTTTTGAGGTGAATACTGGCTCCTGATTTTACACGCCAGAATCTGAGATGGTTGCAAGACAAGAGGTGAACTGACAAAAGGCCCAGTAGATAGATAGACATTACAGGTGACATGACAGCATGGGCAAAGGTCAGGAGGGGCAGGGATGTTTGAAAAATCTGACGGAGTACCAAAGAGGCAGCAGCTCAGTGTGGAAAAGGCACTGGGAACCAAGCAGAGCGGCTGATTTCATTTGGGGGAGGTCGGGAGCAGAAACCTATTTGACAGAGTGCTCAGGGACCTCCAGCATGGCCACACCTTTGTTCAGGCCCTGCCCTCTGCTTCAGGCTTTTTTGTTGCTTGGGTTTGTTGTGGTTGTTTTTGAGACAGAGGCTCGCTATGTAGCCTAGACTGGATTCCAACTTGTGGGCTATTCTCCAACCTGTCTCCATAGTGCTGGGGTTGCAGGCGCACTTTACACACCGCTGTTCAAATGTTTTAAATGTCTGAAATAAACATCCAAATTTGAACTAATCCGCGGTAAACGCACGCCGGTGAGACGTGAGCCCTTTCGTCGCTCCCCGACAACAAGGGTGCAAAGATCCACCCCCAGCAGAGACAAGCTACGCCCGTGCGCGTGCCCGCGGCTCCGCGCACGGCGGGCAGTCCCGGGACGTGACTCGTGGAACGTCCGCTCCAGGAAGCGATGGCGGTGGGGAATAGGGTGTGGGATGCCCCGACGGCGTGCCTCCAGCTTTTGTTGCTGTCCTGGCTTGCTCCGGAGTTTGGGTCTGATGCTCGCCAGCCCTCAATTTGAAAACTTTCCTACTGTTTCCGAAGCTTCACTGGAGTCCACAGGGATTTCCTCCTCCGAGAACTCCATTCAGGCACTTATTTAGCCACCTATCCACCCTTCAGGGGTCCTCGAGCTTCTGCCCGAAGCTAATTAAGTGATGGACGCAGTAGCCTAGGAGACTAGCTGATTGACAGGCATGATTTACCAACCGACTCTGGAAACTCCTGTCTGTGTTTGCCCAACGCGTGGCCGGCAGTCCAATTAAGAAAGTGGAAGCGCCAAAGGGGGCGGTCACGGGGCGGATTGGGTTGTGGTGATTCCCGAGGATTGTGCGCTGGAAGCCGAGGCGTCTGCGGGCATCCGCACGATGCCGTGACGCGGCAGCGCAGCCGGGTGGACACCGCGAGCACAGCCCGGCGGGTGGAGTCCTTCGGTCCCGGAGGCGGCGTGGCGTGAAGGCAAATTGTTGTTTGGGAGCTGTTCTCTCGGAAGTCTTCGGAGGGTGGGGGAGGGGCGGCGGACGACGAGCGGGCCTCGGGTGCGCAGGCGCCGGCCCCTTTTGCCGACGGGGCCCGCCCGCACGCGCATGCTCAGAGTGCGCGGGGGGTCTCGTGGCCGCCAGCACTGCGCAGGCGCGTCGAGAAGCCCGCTAAGGAGCGGCGCTGTCGGAGGTCGGGCGGGCAGGCGGTGACGTCGTGAGGAGAGCTTTAAAGTGCGGGCCGGGCCGGGCGTCTGAGGGTCTGACCCAGAGTCTGGCCGGGTCTTCGCGGAACCCCTCTACGGCATGAGGCGCTGCCGGCGCCCTTGCTTCTCGGGACGTGGAGAAGGTGGAGGAGGAAGCAGCCTCGCTGTCGCTTGTGCTGCATGACCTGCCGCTGCTGAGGCTCGACCCGTTCCTGGCCCTTCTACGCCCCCCGCTGGTTCCTTGGGCCACGCATGGCGGCCCGGCACTGAGGACCCCCGCTTCCCTCTCGGGCCCCCCGGGTGCGTCCCTCCAGAGCCATGCCGGGCCGCCCCGGAGGATCCTAGAGTTGAGTTGGCGGGGGCCATGGCGGCCGCCAGCGGCTACACGGACCTGCGTGAGAAGCTGAAGTCCATGACGTCCCGGGACAACTACAAGGCTGGCAGCCGGGAAGCCGCCGCGGCGGCAGCCGCTGCTGTGGCCGCCGCCGCGGCTGCCGCGGCCGCAGCAGAACCTTACCCGGTGTCCGGGACCACCAAACGGAAGTACCAGGAGGACTCGGACCCAGAACGCAGCGACTACGAGGAGCAGCAATTGCAGAAGGAGGAGGAGGCGCGCAAGGTGAAGAGCGGAATCCGGCAGATACGCCTCTTCAGCCAGGATGAGTGCTCCAAGATCGAGGCCCGCATCGACGAGGTGGTGTCCCGCGCCGAGAAGGGGCTTTACAACGAGCACACCGTGGACCGGGCCCCCTTGCGCAACAAGTACTTCTTCGGCGAGGGCTACACGTACGGCGCCCAGCTGCAAAAGCGCGGGCCAGGCCAGGAGCGCCTCTACCCGCCGGGCGACGTCGATGAGATCCCCGAATGGGTGCATCAGCTGGTGATCCAGAAGCTGGTGGAGCACCGCGTCATCCCTGAGGGCTTCGTCAACAGCGCAGTCATCAACGACTACCAGCCTGGCGGCTGCATCGTATCTCACGTAGACCCCATCCACATCTTCGAGCGCCCGATCGTGTCTGTGTCTTTCTTTAGCGACTCGGCACTTTGCTTCGGCTGCAAGTTCCAGTTCAAGCCCATCCGGGTGTCGGAACCTGTGCTTTCTCTGCCGGTGCGCAGGGGGAGCGTGACTGTGCTCAGGTAACACACCTGGGAGGAGGGGCTGGCCCTGCACCCTGCCGCCTAAACCTATCCAGCCGGGTCCCGGAAGCCGCAGCTGATGGGAGCCGGTTCTTTCTATGGTTCTGACTCATCCTTTTTCCTGCAGACTATAGGAATCTTGTGTCTGGAACTCTTAGCGGGATAAGACCAATATGGAATTCTGTACCTGCAGGCAGGTTTGAAGTGGTCATAATAGTTATCTGAGAATTCATCTGTAAAAGCCTCATTCTGAGAACCTAAGCATTTTCTGAAGGCTAGCATAGGACTCGGTTTTTCAAGTGTGTGGTGCTTGTTTTGCATTTTGTTTTTGTTTTTGAAGACGGGGGTCTCAGTCCAGTTTAGTCTTCAACTTTCTACACAAAGAAGGATGATCTTGAATGTCTGATCCTCCTGCCTCTACCTCCCAAGTGCTGGGATTACGGATGTACACTGGCCGGTTTTTGTGGGGCCTAGAGATAGAAGAACTCAAGGCTTCATGTTTTCCATGTGATTTTAAGCAAATCACTTTCGGTTTTGGACTTCATTTCCATATCTTAAAAAGAAAAAAAACCTGTGCTTAACTATTTAAAAGTTTTCCCTATTCTGTTGTTTGTGGTTTCACAGAGTATAGTGGATTCCTTAACAGAAAATGCAGGCAGAGCCCTTGAGGTTTTGGGTTTTTTTGTTTGGTTTTTTTTGTTTTGGTTCTGTTTTTGGTACAGATTTCTCCGAAGACTGACTTCCTTGGGTTGAACAATTTAGTGGTTTAGCCAGAAATAAAGTACAGCATGCTCTTAAAATTCTCTTGGTTTCAGGCCTAGGCACTTTGTAGAAATGCCGTAGCTGTTACTGGGATCCAGTAAAACAAAATACAGCTGGTCTGTTGACCTGGTGTTTGGCCTTGTGATTTGGTGACCACATCTTAGGCTCTTGGCCAGTTGGGGCCCCAGATCCTGCTAAGAATTAGCTCAGTGCCCTGGCCAGCAGGGTAAATCATCTGCTGGAACACTGATGGGATTTATATGAAGTGAAATTTTATTCGGAGGCTGTCTTCTTCTAGCCTAAAAAAGGTAAGCCTAGTTAATGTACTTTATTAATCCCCCAAATGAGGCCTAGACTACAACTGTTTCAAGTGTTTCAGATGTGTATGGTGCTTCCAGATGGATGCCTTGACAAACATTTTTAAAAGGGATTTCCAGCTGTCCCTGGTAGTGCATGCCTATGTGCTCAGCACTCATGAGGCTGAGGCAAGAGGATTGCTTTGTAAGTTTGACATTGTCTCAAAGAGATCCACCTACCTTCCAAAAGAAAGGATTTCCAGGACTTCCTTTCTGTGTAAGGAAGATTTTGGGGTCTGCCTTGTTGAAGTTTCTTGGTGCTGAAAGGATTTCACATAGAGGCCATTTGGTCATTTAGGGAGATATTTTTCCTCATGGTCATACACCTTTAAGGTTGTTTAGAGGTCTGGCAGACTGGCTGCTTAATGGGGAGTTCTCAGGCACTTTGAGACTCCCCCTACAGCACACTCCTGGATTTAAAAGCAGAACTTACAAATTCTTAATGTGCAGGTCTGTTAGTGATTAACAAGATTGCATCAGCAGGAAAATTGTCTTTTCTTTGCAGTAGTAAAGTCCTAAAGCTTTCCCAGTCCTTTCCAACACTTCCTGGATTCAGACTTGGCTCCAGAGTTAGTGTGGGAGGCACAGCCATGTCCTGAAAAGTGCTGCCCCAGGCTTTGAATCCAGCTTGCATTGGGGTTTTATTTATTTATGTTTGAGGCAGAGTCTCACTCTGTAGCCTAGGCTGTCCCCACTGTTACTGCCTCTGCTTCCAGAGTACTAGGATTACAGAAGTGAGCCATCATGGCTAGCTTTCTTTGGGATCTTGTAGGTATCTTCTCAGAGCTGGCTTTCTTTCTTGGCTGTATAACAGATAGACGGTGCCAACTTTTGAAGTCTTAGTTAAATGTGATTTGGTGTCTAAAAGGATAGGCACTCAAATGTCTATACAAGTACTTAGCCCCTGCTCTGGCTGGAAGAGGTGCAAGGGAATTGGTGGGTCTTGAAAAAATGGCTCCATTCTTCACGTAGTTCATTCTCAGTAGAGGCTTTTAGCCTAGGTGGATCATCAGAATCCAGAAAGATAATCAAAGAAGCACGTTGAGGGGGCATCTTACTGAGATAGTGGAAGTTCTTAGGAGGAAGGAAGCTGGAACTAAAGAATGACTAGAAATTAACCAGAGTTGTGGAATCACAAGGTAGCAGAGCTTCAAACGCAGCAGTAGAATGTAGACATTGGTAAAGATGGTTGTTGTGAGGCATTCCATATCAGAGTCTCTGGTAAGGGTTAGCCTGGTGGTAACAGTAGTTTCTCAACTACTGTTGATATTTGGAGGTTGTAAATTTTTTTTCTGGGTGAGCTGTCCATGCAGTGAAGGAAAAAAAAGTATTCTTGGCCTTTCTGATAGACACTAATAACACTTCTTATGACAATAAAAAAGTCTGAGCTGTGGACAATGGTAGCACATGCCATTAATCCCAGCACTCAGGAGACAGAGGCAGGTGGGTCTCTTGAGTTTGAGGCCAGCCTAGTCTACAGAGGAAGTTCCAGGACAGGCAACAAAGCTGCACACAGAAACCATGTCTAAAAAAAAAAAGCTCAGACGTTGACAGGTGTCCCAGCAGGTAAGGTTGCAGGGCAGCTTCATCCCCAGTTGAGAACTATTGTACTAGGGTATGGACACACCTGCTAATTTAAATCTTCAGGAACCTGCTCCCTGGTACTCTGCTGGCCTGGTATGTAGTTAAACGAACACCTGCCTGTTAGTAATGCCCCTCATCAAATCCTGTGTGGAAGCCTATAAGAAGTTTGCTTTTTCCTTGTTTCCTGATAGATTCACTTTCCAGAGGTGAGAGTGTTAAAGCTACAGGTTAGATAGATGAAAATATATAGATGAGTGTAGATGTAGATGGAGTCTAACAATTGCTGCCTTCACTTGTTAGTGGCAGTAGTGTCTGTATTTGGCAAAGGCACCATGGCAAAATTGTTTTACATTTATTGGTGTTATGTGTTTTGATTAGTGGCAGAGATTTGACTCTGGTGTCTAGACCTGCATTTTTATTAGAGCAAGACTTCACAGACCTCTCTAGAAGTGTTTTACATTCCTTTCCAAACCCAGCTGGCAATTTTTAACTGTTGGTAACCTTCCCAATTTGGACCTGAAAAGGGGTCCCCTTTTTATGCTGTTCTTCCTCCCCCCCCCTTTTTTTTGTGTGTGTGTGAGAGAGGGTTTCTCTGTGTGTAGCTTCACGCCTTTCCTGGAACTCACTCTGTAGCTCGGGCTGGCCTTGAACTCACAGAGATTCGCCTGCCTCTGCCTCCCGAGTGCTGGGATTAAAAGTGCGCCCCCACTTTCTGGCCTTATGCTATTCTTTAGAAATCTGTATTTACCTTTTCCTCGTGTCAGTTCATCCCACATTCTTTGTCCTGGCTCTGTAAAGTGAATAGGGCAGATTAAAACAGACCCCAGAGCTGGAGATCAGTTGGTAAACTGAACTTTAGTGCTTAGAAGCATTAGGACCTAAGTTTGATTCCCTAGAAATTTCCCACCCTTTTTTCCTTCTTTAAAGCCAGATGTGATGGCCCATACTTGTAATCCCAGGGCCAGAGAAGTGGAGACAGGACTCACTAGCCACCCTACCTATCCTTCTTAGCCAGTGAGAGACCCTGTCTCAAAAAAAAAAAAAAAAAAGCAAAGTGAAAGATGCTTGAGGAATGACACCTGAAGTTGACCTCTGACCTCTTATATGCATATGCACCCCCACACACATGCATAAATAAAAAAGCAATATATGCATTACTTTATAAGGTAATTTTTTAAATTAAAAAAAAAGATTTAAAAAAAAAAAACAGGCTCCAGTTGTTAGAATAATCACCTCAAGGCTAACTGCTTGTGAACTGTTTCCTTTAACCACTGTTTTGTAGTCCTTTACAGAGACCTGGGTCTTAGCTACCGGTCTGGAATGACTGCTCCACCTAGCCATCTATTGTGTACTGGCAAGCTTAGTCTTTGGCTCTACTGGTTAATAGTATTGGGGGATCAAGCAGTCAAGCATCCTTGTTAAGTTTGTTTGGCTGAATGAAAGCAAAATGTAGCTTTGTGGTTTAAAATAGTTGGGAAAAGTCCTGGACTGCACCACTCGTTTGGATTTTTTTTCCTGTTACGTACATTCTTTTGTGTGTGTACGCACATATGTGTGTGTGGTGCATCAGAGGACAACTTGTGGGAGTTGATTCTCTCCCTGTGGGTCTCTACTCTCCAACTAATGTAGTCAGAAAGAACCTTTGTCTACTGAGCCATCTTACTTGCCCCTTGTTTGAAATTTTCCTGTTTCAGGGCTATACACCCCCTGGAAGGGGCTGTTGGTTATTGAAATTGGCTTCCTTTTGTGTTGCCAGGCCTGACAAGGCAGAAGCAGCAAAAGAGAAGCACCTACCTAGCTGGGAGTCATGGTCTCAAAGGAAACTCAGAGCAAGCAAAGAACAGACAGGCCACGAAAATCTCAGGGCTGACCGGCTGGCGAGCCGTTTTAGACTGAGCAGTTAGTATGCAACACTGCCGTATAACCCTCCCTGTCTCATAGGACTAGTACTCATTCCCATGTTACTTGAGGTCAGCAAGCCCCATTTCAAGTTAAACCTTGTTACCAAGAAACAGGTGGGATTTTCTGCTTTCACTTGTTACCGACCTAACACATTTGGCTACCAAAAAAACAGAGATTAGGAAAACTTGGTGAAGTTTTAGCATCACAACAGCAATTTTTTTCTTTTTTGAGACGGGGTTTCACTTTGTAGCCCTGGACCCCTAGAATTCACTGAATATACCAAGAAACTCAAAAGATCTGACCTGCCTCTGCCTCCTGAGTGAGTGCTAAGAGGTGAGTGCACACCAGCCATGATCAATTTAACTTAATGGTCTTGTTTTTCACTTGTGCTAAGGAGGAAGCCAATGATGCTTTAGAGTTGTCAGGAAAGATTGAGTCTCTGTTATATGGCTGAGTTCATGAAGTTTAAAGATGTCTCGAGGTGAACTGCTGTCAGTACTTTGGTATGTGCAGAATTAGGATAGATCGGTGTCTTAAAAGCCCCAAAACTTCTTTAAAGTAAAGCCATTTCTTTTCCTGGAGACTTGAATTCACAGTCCTGCCTGGGTACCAATCAGTGATGAGGCTCAAGGGGGCTGCCTAAGGAAAGTAGCCATCAAAGGGAGGCTAGCATTAAGCTGTGACCTTGTCCAGGTCAGGTGTTTTTGTTTTGTTTTGGTTGGTTGGTTTTTTGGTGGTGGTGGTGGTTTTGTTTTTGTTTTTTGTTTTTCTTTTGGTTTTTTTTGGTCTGCCCTGGCCTAGGCGGACATGGAACAATTGGGGAATGGTGGCCATCTTGGAAATGAGCTTTAGCAACTCCATCTCGGATAAGGCTGTTTCCAGAAGAGACATGCATAGTCCTGCACATTTCCTTAGTAATGGTTTTCCAGGCTCATTTAATTTGTGTACAGTCCTCTAAGGAAAGGCTTGTTGCAATCTGTTTTGATACTCTTAAAATAGAGGGTTCAAAGTGATAGACTGTTTTTGGTGTAGAATGTTAGCACATATTTAATTTTTTGTCCACTGTGCAGAGTTGAGTAAGGCCTTTGAACAGAGTGTTGTCCTAGAAGGAAAACACAATTATAGTAGAGTCATGGGATGATGTGGTTGGGTCACATGGGCAGGAGGCCTAGGGAAATTTTACCAGGAGAGAGGAGATAGATAGGTCAGCTCCCTCGTTATTCTAAAGTATAGGACTAGTGAGTGACAGAGCTAAGTCCTGTTGCTTGGTGGTTATGGATAGCATAATAAGCATTGTTGCTGGGCATGGGGGCTTAGCCCATGCAGAGAGCAGACCAGCTGGACAACATAAGGTATTCTTCCTCTACTTTTCCTGCAAAAACAGGAGTAGGCAGCCATAGAACTTTCCTTCACATCAAAGGTAGAAGAGGACCCAGGGCATATTACATTTCAGATTGGCCGAATGAGATTTTCAGTGTCTCCTCTAGCAAGTAGGATTCTTAGCAGTAAAAGGCACTCTTGTGGTCTTGGCTGGGCATTTTCTGCTTAAGTTCATCCAGGAAAAAACTTCTGTTAGAACTTTTTGGGTTCCCTCTCCCACAGAGGAAAAAACAATGGGCTATCACCGATAACAGGGTATTCTAGAATACTGGTGTTCATAAGACTTAATATAGGGAATATAGGGTTGGTATGTCAAGGTCACGTCTGAGGTTCATTCTAGTTGTGAGGCCTGGGCAGGAACCTGGCATGGCTTGTTTGTTTTATAGCCTTTGGAGGATGGGGCAGGGAACCTGAAAGCAGTCAAACTTTGACAAACAATCTGGATTTGTTCCAGAGCTGCATTAAGAGAAGTGGTTTCTTGTTGGAAATGAGAAGCCGAGGCCCTTGGTCATACTTATGTAATAGCCAAGTCAAGCATGACCCTTGTTAACACCAGGGAACATCGCATGTAGCTGTCACTGCCGATTCAGGCCTTTTGAGATGAACCGTTATACTCAGCTCTTCTTCTAAGATCTGTGTGTGTATAGTATGTAGCCCAGTCTCTAGTCACTAATATAAAGTGATAATAACATGGCTCACACCTGTAGTTTCAACATTCAAGAGACTGAGGTGGGAGGATTGCTGTGGGTTTGGGGCCAGTCTGAACTCCATAGTTACTGGCCCACTTGGGTTACAGTGAGAGGCCTTGTCTTAAAAGTTGAAATGGAAAGGGAAAAAAAGAATGAGACTAAAGCTAGCTCCTAGCCTGGGAATAGGGCCAAGAGGCCCCTGCTAGTGTAGAATGTAGAACCCTGTAGGGGACCTGAAATTGTGTTTCCTCTTCAGGAGCTGAACTCAAGGCTTGCTAAGAGGTCTAGGCCCTTTAGCACTGCCAGATGCTTAGCAAATGGTAGGAGGGTCCAAGGCACTCTGAGTTATCCAGCATCATTTTCAACCCTCAGATAGGCCTCTCACTGCTCCCTTGCTAGAGATTTCAGTCGTGTAAATTCTGCCCTCAAGAGAAGTGGTGTCTGTCTGCCTTTTAAATCTTGAGTCTTTAATAATGACAAAATGAGTACCTAAATTATAAAGCATAACAAAATGAACACTGAAGAAACCAAGGTTTTTATGTTCAAGCATGTGACTTAACTCAGGTCACAAAGCTTATAGCTTGGTGGGGCATGGTAATACACACATTTAATCCCAGACTTAGGAGGCAGAGGCAGGCAGATCTGAGTTTGAGGACAGCCTGGTCTGCATAGTGAGTTTCATCCAGGACAGCCAGGGCTGTGTAGAGAGACCTTGTCTCAGACAAAGTCTTAATTTGAATCCAAGTCCTCTATAACTCCTCCTATGTGGCACTTCTCTCTGTGGGCTCATAGTTATTAATAGGGATGAAGAGTGAGTTCTTTGGTCAGTGCTCAGTTAAAGTCAGTAGATTCATAGTAATTCTCAAACCCTTTTACATCCTGATACTTTTTGGAACTCTTAATTAGTATTTTCCAGCTTGATTTGGTTTATGGATATTTGTCCTAGTCTCTTGTGAGGATAATACGCACTTGAGTACATGCACACACCAAACCACTAAAGAACCCTGATCTAATAGCAGCTGGGTGGTGGGTAGGAACAGGTAAGACATTTATAAATAGGCTTATTCTACCGCCAGCATGGACTCAAACCAGAATTGTGGGTGGGGGAGGGCACCTCTCTATATAGTCCTAGCTGTTCTCTATATAGTCCTAGCTCTATGTAGTCCTTGCTGTGGAGACTAGTTTGGCCTAGAACTCTAGGAGATCCACCTGCCTTTGCCTCCTGAGTGCTGGGATTAAGGGTATGTACTACCAAGCCTAGCTTTCAAAACAGATTTTTAAATCAGAAGTGCTTTCCTTATAGTAGCAACAAAATAATTTTATGGGTGGGGGTCACTACAACATGAGGAACTGTATTAGAGGGGTGCAGCATTAGGAAGGTTGAGAACCACTGCTCTATGGTCTGACCCTGAAATAAATTTGGCTTTGTATTTCTTACTGGCTTTTGAATCCTGCATTGCTCTTAGGACAGCCTAGCCCTGAAGGAGTCATTCCCAGATCTTTTGTACTTCAGGTAGTTAAGCATGTGTTATCCCTACACCTGCACTAGAGAAAGAACTGATGAGCAGCCATGAGAAAAGGGTGTATGCACAGACATGGTAGTGCAAGCCTTTAATCTCAGCACCAGGGAGGCATTGGCAGGTGAATCTCTATGAGTTCAAGGCCAGCCTGCTTTACAGAGTAAGTTCCAGGACAGCCCGGGCTATACACAGAGAAACCCTGTCTCAAAAAAACAAAACTAAACAAAAGGTATATGGCCTAGGGGCAGTTAGGAAACTTAAATGGGAAAGCTTGAAGGCAAGCTCTTCCATCAGGCCTGGTACCTGACTGGGCAGGTGTCTGGCTGTGTCGCTCTTGGCAGCTCAATGGAATAGCTTGGACTGGGAGTATCTTATCTCTTGGGGTGCTCACTGAGAACATGTGAGGGACTCAATAATCAGAGTTATTCCTGGAACTTAAGATCAGAGGGATGCCAGCTGAGAATAATCATCTATCCATATTTGTTAGCCTTTAAGTAGTTTTAAAATCATGTAACTTTTAGGTAGAAATTTCATTATGGTGGAAATTTATAAAATAGCCCAAACATAGCTGTCTTCAAATTTTTGGATCTTGGCTGGGCAGTGGTGGCACATGCCTTTAATCCCAGCACTCGGGAGGCAGAGCCAATCAGATCTCTGTGAGTTAGAGGCCAGCCTGGTCTACAGAGTGAGTTCCAGGACAGGCACCAAAACTACACAGAGAAACTCTGTTCAAAAAAAAAGAAAGAAAAAAATTTTTTTTTTTTTTTTTTTTTATCTCCCCAGAGGAGGCTTTTGAAAGTTTTTTCCCAAGTAATAAAGTTCTGTGTTGGGACTTAGTGATCCCTGTATTTCTGTGCTGTCAGTGGCTACCTCGACTTCCTCTGTATTCATGACTGGGGGCAGGTTTTTGTCTTTTCACCGAAGACTCTCACCTACACTCCAGTTGCCTCCAGAGTTTCTTTGTTTTTGTATTTGTTGTAGTGCTGGGGATCGAACCCAGAGCCTCATATTTGTCAGGCAAGTGCTTTACCTCTGAACTACACCCTAACCTGAAGAGCTGCAAACAAAAAAGATTCTAGTCTGTGCTCGGAGAGTCCTGCTTCAGACTGTCTCAAGTGACCAGTGAATCTTCTGTGCCATATTTTTCCTTTAATGGTTTCTAGGCAGACACTTCTTAGGCTTAAACATATTTCCCTTCCATGTAGATTCTTGAATTTCTCAGGTAGTAGGCAGAGGGCAGCCATGAGACTTTGTCCTCTTCCTGTCCCCCATGCATTGGTTATCTGTCTACTCTCTTACTGGTGACTTGTTCTGTGTCTTTGTAGTGGGTATGCTGCTGATGAAATCACTCACTGCATACGGCCTCAGGACATTAAAGAACGCCGAGCGGTCATCATTCTCAGGAAGTAAGTACCTTCATGTCTGGCATCCTCTGCCTTAACTACAAGCCTGTCTGAATCCTCCTAGCACTTACCTCTCTACTTCTTGCATGCCACTATGTAATCTAGGAGAGTGGAAAGACACAAATTCTCTTACTTTACATCTTTAGACTGTTTAGGGAGTTGAGTGTTGAGCAAAGACGTGCTCCTGATATTTATTGGCACATTTTTTTTCCTTCCTTTAAGGATTTATTTTTAGTTATATGTATGTATCAGTGTGTGGGTGTGTGCACATGTGTGTAGGTGTCTGTGGAGTCCAGAAGAGGGAGTCAGGTTCCCTGGAGCTAGAGTTCCAAGTAGTTGTGAGCCACCAGACATGGATGCTAAGAACCAAACTCAGGATCTCTGCAAGAATGGGGCTTGCTCTTAATCCTGAGTTATTCCTAGTCCTTTGGGCACAGACTTGAAACAAGATTTGGGGAGTACTTTCCTAAAGCCTCCCACTTCTCTGTCTCGCACACGCACAAGCACGCATGCACACACTCACGCACTCATGCCTGTTCTGACTTGTCACATGTGCTTTCGGGGATTATTTTTAGACTGTGCCTTAGCAGCCTACTTTAAAAATGCCTGGGCTTTCACTTGTAGAAGGAGCTAGGAGTGAGGTGACAAGACTAGGAAGGCAGGCTATAGTATTTAGCTGGCTCGTCGCTGTGGCTTGTCCCCCTCTAGACTAACATGAATAGCCTGCCCTCTCCTACCTGAGCATGGTGGCTCACTAATGCCTGTAATCCAGCATCTGGGGGACTAAGGTGAGAGGATTGGGACTTTGAGGCAGGCCTGTCATAGAATAAAAGAGAAAGGAGGGAGGAAGGGAAGGAAGAAAAAAGAGAAGCGGAAGGCTAGTCAGGCATTGTGAGGCACTCCTGAAATGTTGACACTTAGGAAGTGGCGGTAGGAGAGGAGTTCAAGGCCAGCCTGGGCTACATGAGGCTTGTACTTTCTTTTGGTTTTAGTAGTTTTTTTGTTTGGTTGGTTTGGTTTTTTGTTTTTGTTTTAAATGATTCTTACATTGTTGCCCTGGAATTCACTATGTAGACTATGGTGATATTTTATTTTATTTTGGGTTTTTTTCTAGACAGGGTTTCTCTGTGTAGTTTTGGTGCCTTTCCTGGAACTCACTTTGTAGACCAAGCTGGCCTCGAACTCAGAGATCCGCCTGGCTCTACCTCCCAAGTGCTGGGATTAAAGGCGTGTGCCACCACCGCCTGGCAGTGATATTTTATTTGTGCTGAAATGTGATTTTATTTGTATGTTAATAAAGTTGCCTGGAGATTAGAGCTAAGAGGAAGCGATTTTACAGAAGTCCGGTGGTGGTGGCACACGCCCTTAATCCAATCACATAGCAGGCAGAACCTCTGTGTGTTCAAGGACACAGCCAAGCGGTGACCCAAACCTTTAATCTCAATACGAACCATAGAGACCTGAAGGTCTATATAGACAGGCAGTGACGAGGAAGTCATGTGGTTGGGTTTACAGCCAATGAGAAGGCAGAACAGAAAGGCAATAATAAAAAGACAGGCCACAGGAAGCAGGTCTCTCTCAGGGGAAGGACAGCAGCGAGTGGTAAGATAAGGTGGTCTTAGCTCTTGGCTACTGCTCAATCTCTGGGCTTTTAACTCTTTACTTGGCTCTGTGTTTCTTATTTAATAAGACCGTTTAGAATTACATCTACAGTAGACCAGACTGGTCTCAAACTCTAAAGATCCACCAACCTCTATTTCTGGCATGTAAAAGTGAGCAAAGGTCATCTAGTGTGCAGACTTGGGTTGTGTTTGGTGAGGTAGTTATTGTTTGTTCTTTTTCCCCCTTTAAAATTTAAGTGAAGTCTTTAAATCTTAAGGTTTTTAATTTCGTTATTTAAAAAAATGTTACAGGTAAGTCGTGTGGTGGTGCAGAGGCAGGTGGATCTTTGTGAGTTCAAAACTAGCCTGGTTTACATAGCTCCAGGACTACGTGTAGAGACCCTGTATCAAAAAGACTAGAGAGTTGGCTCATTGGTTAGGACACTTGACTACTCTTCCAGAAGACCAGGTTTGGATTCCCAGCACCTAGATGGGTGCTCACAACCATCTGTAATTCCAGTCCCAGGGAATCCAACACTCTGCTCTGGCCTTCAACCAGGTCCAAAGACTATGCAAGACAATAAACTTCTATATAGTTAGAGTAGGCATTTGGAACAGAAGCTGTGGAGCTTCACACTGGGTTATACTTTCAACTATTGAATTATATTTTTATGTGCTTATCCACCACCAAAGTTTAAAAATCATTGCCACATGTAGAACTAGAAAAACAATTAGCAGTCGGGTGGTGGTGGTGCATGCCTTTAATCCCAGCACTTGGGAGGTAGAGGCAGGATCTCTGTAAATTTGAGGCTAGCCTGGTCTACAGAGTGAGTTCCAGAACAGTCAAGACTGCAAAGAGAAACCCTGTCTCTGGAACAAAGAAAAACAGCTTTATATGCTTTGGTTTTTTGATAGTTTTTGATTTGTAGAACATTGTGAGACCATTAGAGTTCCCATGTAACCTGTATTTTCCTTTATTGTTGGTATCTTAAATTTAGTGAGATATATTTGTTACAGTTATGAGACCAATGCTGAAGCAGGAAGATTTTAAGTGTAGGATCTGCGTAGACTACAGAGAGGGCCAACTAAGGCAAGTTTGTGAGACCTTGTCTCAAACTAAAAAGTAAGAATGCTGGACTTAGGATGTAGTTCAGAGGTAGTGTTCACTTGGCAGTCCAGCCCCCGGGTTAAACCCCCAGTTCAGAGAGATAGACAGATATACACGTATTGTCTATATACCAGATATACTAGACATGGTGGCATATGCCTGAAGTCTCAGCTTTTTGGAAATCTGAGGCAAGTCACTTGAGCCTAGGGATTGGAAACCAGCTTGGCATTACAGCAAGACCCTTTCTCTAAAAACAAACAAAAGAAAGGAAATCAGTTGTGGCTGAAAAATGTAGCCTAATGATAAAGCACTTTGTTAGCATGCCTGGGGCTTTGACATCCATGCATCATCCATGGTTTTAGATTTCCCTAGTATCTTAATTAGTTTTTTTCATGCATCTGTTCTCATCCAAGGTGCATCCTGTGTACATCTAGTTGTCATGTCACTTTACTCCTCTGGGCTATAACAATTTCTCAGACTTAATTGGCTGGGTATTTTATAGAATGTTGTAACAACCCTGACTGTCTGGAACTTACTCTGTATACCAGGTTAGCCTGTAACTCACAGAGATCTGCCTGCCTCTGCCTCACCAGTGCTGGGATTATAGCTGTGTGCCACCATGCCTAGTTTAGATGTCTCTCTTGCCTGGCAGAATGAAATTCTAACTATCCAGCCTAGTCTCTTGAGGTTCTTCCCTTTGTCGTACTCTACCCTAAAGTACCTATGGCCCCAGTGCAGTTGATGAACTTATGGCCTGGTTGTGTGACAGGATGGCTTTTGTTGGAAACACCTTTCTTTCTAACATATTCATGTTTTGGTCCACATCACCACTCTAAAATTTCCTACATGTACACACTGGTCAGCCTAGCTATCCCTCAAGGCCCTGGTGCTGGCCATTTTGACATTCGGGACACGTTGCGTACCTGTAGCGCTTTATCATGCCACACCTCTTTAAGCTGTCACAGCCTATATACATGACCATTGTGAACTTCCAAATTCATATTCAGGGATAGTAGAGGGATGTCCAGTGCCTAGCTTGCTACCCAGGCCAAATGAGACATTAGTTGATAAGTGAAGAATAATTTGGACTGCCAACAAGTAGTTTCAGAAAATCTGTTGAGACTTGTCTTATAAAAGGATGAACTGAGCATCACCCTGACTTGGACATCCAGATACTACCCAAAGATCAGAGGTGACCTTGGTGAGACCAAGTTCTATTCAGTAGAGTCTGAATGTTAAATCTGCCCTGTTCCTTTTAGTCATGGGTTAGAGTCAGTCTTGCCTAAAGTTCAAATAGATTGTATAAACTCTGGTAGCTCTGACACCAGCTCACATCAGTAAGAGCTGGCAAGATCTTTCTCAAGGATCTCATGGAGAGAAGTTCATGGATAGCTGCCATGTGCTTGCTGGCTGAACAAAATGTGGCTGCTTTGAAGTGACCTTTTGAGTTTGTTTCGGAGTAAAATCCTCAAACTACAGACCAATTTATGTTTGTAGTCACAGTACATGGTCAAGTGAGATCTTGAACCTGGGCCTCCTGGCTTGTTGGTGGTTTGTAGAGTGGAGCACTATAGGTTCTGCCTTCACCCACCTACCTGCCCATGTTGTAGAGATCCTCCCACCTCTGCCTCTGAATTTCTAGGATTAAATGTGCATGCCACCACATCTAGATAAAAATTTAAAAAATTAAAAATAAATCTGGGGGGGTGTGTGTGTGAGAGACTGCTCAGCAATTAAAAGCACTGGCTGTTCTTCCAGAGGAACTGGCTTCTTTCTGTTCTTAGCACTCAGATAGTGGCTCACAACCATCTGAAATTTCAGTTCTAGGGGATCTAACACCATCTTCTGGATTGTTTAGGCACATCCTAATATGCAGGCAAAATATTCATATAGGTAATAAAAATAAATATTTTTGTTTTTCAAGCCCTAGCTGTCCTGGAACTCAGAGATCCATCTGCCTCTGCCTCATGAGTGCTGGGTTTAAAGACGTGTCACCACCACTGCCTGGTCTAAAATAAAATTTTTTTTTTTTTTTTTTTTTTTGGTTTTTCGAGACAGGGTTTCTCTGTGTAGCTTTGCGCCTTTCCTGGAACTCACTTGGTAGCCCAGGCTGGCCTCGAACTCACAGAGATCCGCCTGGCTCTGCCTCCCGAGTTCTGGGATTAAAGGCGTGCGCCACCACCGCCCGGCTTAAAATAAAATTCTTAACTGGTGGTGGCACACACCTTTAATCACAGCACTTAGGAGGCAGAGGCAGGTAGATCTCTGAGTTCGAGACCAGCCTAATTTGCAGACTGAATTCCAGGACAGCCAAGGCTACACAGAGAAACCTTGTCTCAAACATCAAAAAAATAAATACATAGAAAAAAACGAGAGAGAGAGAGAGAGAGAGAATTGTAGGTTAGGAGGCAGAGACAGGCAGAAATTCTATGACAGATCTACATAGAGAGACCTGTCTCAAAAAAACAAAAAAGAGAAAATTGTAAAAATGGGGATGTGGGGGACAAATTACCTGACAGTGTGATAAAGTAGTAGCATGTCCTTCAAAGTGCTTGTATCAACAATGTCCCTGTATATTTCAGTCATTGGTACTCTGAGAAAGACGGGACCCAGCCTCTTTGGAGAGTGGTTGAAAGGTTAAAGTACTGGTTAGATGACCAAGAGGCTAACCAGCTTCAGGAGTGAGGTAGTTAGTTCATGGACATAGTGGTAGTGAATGGGAGTTCTAGTGTCTGCATGATTTCCTGGTGTGCACCCTAGTGTTCCTCCCCCTAGAAGACCTGGCTTGCTGCCACATACTAACACTACGAGCAGGAGATGTAACTAGAAGGGGGCTCAGGCAGAAAGGGAGTTGTGCCCAGTGGTGGCACACGCCTTTAATCCCAGCACTCAGGAGGCAGAGCCAGGCGGATCTCTTGAGTTTGGGGCCAGCCTGGTCTACAGAGCGAGATCCAGGACAGGCACCAAAACTACACAGAGAAACCCTGTCTTGAAGAGGGGGAAAAAAAAAGTGAAATGCTTGGGCTGATTTTTGAGCAGGAATTTCTGGCTTGTTTTCACATTTTTATTTAGGCATACAAGATAGGTACCATAAGACACCCATAGTTCTATTTTTGCATGCCATTACAGCACAAAGCAGAGGACACACTGATAGAAAAGCACAGAATATTTCTCCCTGAGGGCCCACCATAAAGAAAATCAAAATTAATTACATCCACCTTAGTGGGAGAATCAGGGAAGACTTGGTACATCTGACTTCTGAGCTTGAAACAACTGGCTAGACAGAAATGGAATATTCAGTGGCTGGAAGGCCAGGAAGTTTTTCCTAACTTTCTTAAATCATACTAATATTCTTTCAAGGACAAGCATACAACTAAAGATGCTAGAGTGAGGAAATCTTATTTTTATGAGAGTGAAGTCACAAGATAATTCCAGGTGCTGTCCTCAGTGATGCTACTTATCATTCTGGGAAGTCAGGAAATTTTCAACCCCTCCAGCTACCACAAATGCAGCAAATCTTCATTTGAACCCTTTTAATAACATTCTCGTGAAAGTAACAGTTGTTTGTAAAGTCACCGATATATCTCCAAGCCTCATTGTGAGCCTGTGGATCCCTCAGCCCTCATGCAGCAAGCCTGTTCAGGACTGTTGCTAAATGATATCCCTTCTGTTTTCCACTGTCTGTAATCTGGAAGTACCAATTGTCCATGTCCATGTCTATGTCCAGCGGCCATATCTGATATCAATCTGACCTCTCAGGTCACTCCTGAGTGATCTCTATCTGTATGTCCTTTGGGGAAGTTAACCACTGAATGCTCACCAGGGAGGGGCAAGTCGAGAAAGTCTTTATAGAAACATGCATGAGATACTCAAAATGGTTGGGCCTCATCCAAGAACAAAAGGGTCTTGGTCTGAGGTAGTTTGGCCAGAGAAGTGCTCTTTGGGCTAGGGGTGTAGCTCCATGCTAGAGGCTTGCTTAGCATGTCTGAGGCCCTAGTTGCATTCATGGCCCCACAAAAAGAGAGAATGCAACCTCTGAGGCATCCATTGTGCTGGAATAGACTAGAAATGAGGTGGAGTTGATACAAACCTGGATGGCTATAGGAAACCCACTGAGAGCAGTGGGATATGGGGTTCACATGACAGGTTGTAAGAGCCTGAGTTCAGTGGCTTGTTTTACCATTGGAGCCAGAGGTCTGCAGGAGACCCCACCCTAGTTAGCTTATGGATGAAAAGGGTGGTTGTGGTGGGTGCGCTCTACTCCATTCTTCAGGAGAGTATGAGTGGCTAGATCATGGTTTCCCTAGCTTTGACCATGCCTAAGCTGTTGCCCCCACAGAGACCCTTGCCACCTCTGGAGCATAGTTAAAGTGGGCTAGTTCCTTCTTTCCCAAGATTGTGCTACCCCTGGGCAGCTCTGCTCTACCACAGCAAACACTGCCTCTCCCTTAGACACCTTGATAGGATCTGACTTCTCTGGCCTCCATGGACACCTGCGCATACTCCCACAACACATATCCATATACATAATTTAAAAATAAACATTTATATATTATATATAATATATGACCTTACATATAATATATAATAATAATATTTATATTTTATATATTATTATGTATTGTTACAAATAAAAAGGAGCCCTTTTGGTTTCTGCTTGTTTAGCATTCCCCAAAGGGCTACTACTAAGTAGATGTGACAGGGGTGTGGAGTAGGCTAGGCTTTTCTCCATTCCCTGGCTCTGCCACTTAGCCTTCATAACCCTGTGTCTATGAGAAAGTAAGGTGGTTCTGCTTTTCTTCAGCTCTTCTGTAGGTCTGGGGCAAAACCTTTCCTGTGTTTGTATTGCTGGCAGGGATGAAGACATCTATTGGGATGTACCCACAATCCACTGGCAGGTTGGGTAGATGCTCCTAGAGAAACTGCAAGTCTGACTGGGTTAAGAAATGCTGACGGGGGCTGGAGAGATGGCTCAGTGGTTAAGAGCACTGCTTGTTCTTCCAGAGGTCCTTAGTTCAATTCCCAGCAACCACATGGTTGCTCACAACCATCTATAATGAGATCTGGTGCCCTCTTCTGGTCTACAGGTGTACATGCAGACAGAACACTGTATACATAATAAATAAATCTTAAAAAAAAAAAAAGAAAAAAAATGCTGCCTTCTGTGGCTGAGAGTGCGCTGGGGTCTGCATGCATAGCACACGTTGGAGGTGTCCAAACAGAAGTTACTCCCATTCTCCACTTCTAGGCCTGAAAGTGAAAAAGACATTCTCTGGAAGTCACTGGACCAATCTCTAGTTGAATCACAAAGAGACCAAGGCACAGTAACTAGACTGTTGGTTTGCAAGCCCATCCAGTCTTCACTGGAGATAGATTTGTCCTGATGTGGCTTATTACCAGAGGCCCTTTTGAGACCCTGTGTGTGTTTCCTTTGCAGGACAAGATTAGATGCACCGCGTTTGGAAACAAAATCCCTGAGCAGCTCCACATTGCCACCCAACTATGCTTCAGATCGCCTGTCAGGAAACAGCAGAGACCCTGCGCTGAAACCCAAAAGGTCCCACCGCAAGGCAGACCCTGATGCTGCCCACAGGTACTTAGAACCCTCAACAGAGGCCAGCAGTGCAGCTTATGGGCTGCCTAAAGAAGGCTGGTTAGGAGCCTGGGGTTGTCCATTCTTCAAAGTCTTGTCCTTTGGGAAAGTGGCTTTGACGGAAAACACATACCAAAAAAAAAAGGCCTGGCCAGTGCATAATACCCCTTAGAAGAGGGATTCAGCAGAAATTCTGAGAAATGTCCCATGACTTGCCTTGTTCAGTCCCATCTGGGCACACATATTTATAGGTTTATACTTCGGTGTTAAGAGAGCATCTTGACACTTAGAAGTGAACCAGGGATCTCTTGGAGAGGGTTTCTGGGAGGGTAATTTTAAAATGACACCAGAAGGGACTGGGCCGTGGTGGCGCACGCCTTTCATCCTAGCAGTCGGGAGGCAGAGGTGGATCTCTGTGAGTAATGACACCATGACACCAGAGGGATGAGAAAGCTGTGGAGAGGGGAAGGGCATTCTAGGAAAGAAAGAAGTTTGTAAGAGCTGAAGTTCTGAGGCAGAAAAGAGCATAGTGGTTTCAGAGACGGGGGTTGCAAGGCTTGAAGGGATGATTGTGAACAGTAGAGGTGTATGGCAGGACCCTGTAGGGGTTTGAACTTGACATAAGAAAAGCCCGGCCCAGCAGACCTGACAGGGTACTGAGCACCAAAGTCAGAACTAAGCATACTGTACAAGGTGACTAAGAGACATCTAAGACAAGGACTGGCCACTGTTGCTTAGTAGGCAGGCCCCACCACGGTTAGTGCATCTGGATTAAGATCTACTGGGAAGAGTAACCCAGTCTAAAGATGGGGAGCTTCTGAGTCCCCTACAGTGGTGGCAAGACTAGACCACTGCTGACTCTCAGGTAACAGCCTGTCCCCATTGTTTGCAGACCCCGGATCCTGGAGATGGACAAAGAAGAAAACCGGCGGTCTGTGCTTCTGCCCACACACCGGCGGAGGGGTAGCTTTGGCTCTGAGAACTATTGGCGCAAGTCCTATGAGTCCTCGGAAGACTGCCCAGAGGCAGCAGGCAGCCCCACCCGCAAGGTGAAGATGCGGAGACACTGAGGCCCTGTGCCCGCCTGGACTCTGGCTGACCCTGCTGTAGCTGCCCCACCCATCTTCTGTTTGTTTGAGTGTTTTTTTCTCTGTTGTTTGTTATTTTGGTCCTATATATGTTTTCCTTGCTTGGTTGCCTATTAAGGCTAAAGAACAGAATTGGCGAAAGACCTGGGTTCTTATGTTCTTGGCTTTCCTCCTTGACGGAAAAGGCTGTTAGCTTCTGTAGGGGAACACTCTTACCAGAGTAGCCAGTCGAGACAGTGGGGACAGCTGTCTTCAAGTGGAAATGTGTCAGGCTAGGTTTATTTAAACACACAAAGTGTTTTGGTTAAGGAATTTTTGTTTGGGCTTTAAATGTAAATCTTTGCAGTGTTTTAAACAAAGGCGATTCTTTTGCCAGCCCTTTTTTTCCACTGATGCTCATGCTTGGATGAGGTCTCTTGGAGCCATACAGGTCCTGCATTGGGCCTGCTGCCCCTACATTTCACCTGCTGTTCAGGCTCTGGAAGCTCATGCAAATACCTGTTCCCCACTGTTCAGGTTGGCTGGGTGTGGGGCTTAAACAGTGCCAGCCCCCTGCTGTCCCATTTCTGAGTCCCCAGGCTTCCTGCATGCCCTCTAGCTTGCTCTGCCCACCGATCTTGGGTGGTCAAGAGACTAGCACAGTGGTCCTGACCTCTTGCCAAGAGCATGCCCATTTACTGGGTTGCTCCTTTAGGCATGTGTGTGTGGTTGTATGGAACAGTTAGACTTGCTGCAGTGGGTTATTTGTAGGAATTGTTTCTAGCTAGAGGAACTGGTTGACTTCCAGTCTAGCATTTGGGTTATGGGAACTTGGGGTGTGTGGTAGGGCTTTGTTTCTTTTGTTCTGAGGTGTTTCCCCTCCCATTAGTCTCTTGGCTTTCTTCTTTTTTCCTCAGTTGGCCATCTTGGTTCTCCTCCCCCCCCCCCCCCATATCATCTATCTAAGAAGGTGTTTCCATCCTCTCTTGTCCACCTATAGCTTATATCCAAGGCCAGAAGTCAGACCTGCATATTGGGTTGGTACTTTCTCTGCCTCAGGGACATGGGTGCTGGGGAAGAAACTTCTAAAAATAATAGAAAGTTAAAGTCTTTGACAGTTTCTGCCTGCTTAGATCCTGGAAAGCTGTGGGGCTTTGCTGATCCAGGTTCATTAGGAATGTCTTTGGCAGCCAGACAAGGACTGGGCCTGCCAAAAACAGAGGCCTTCTGAACAGCGATGCCACCACCACTCCAGAGGTACACAGAGGCTTGACCTCAGGCCTCAGTGACTTTAGAGATATGGGGAGCAGCCATCCATCAGGAAATCCCTCTTTGAGGTCAGAAATCCTTTTTGCCAATGTGGAGCCAGCCCTCAAGTTGAGACTGCGTAACTAAAGCAGTTGCAGGTCTTCTGTGGTTTTGGGGTGTTTTTGTTTTGTTTTGTTTGTTTTTTTACTGCTCTTTTCCCAAAAAAATGATTTGTAGTTGTGTGTGCAGCACTTTGCCCTAATATGTGTGTGCTCTACAATAAAAAACAAATCTAATATATTTTGAAACAATTGTCTGATGCTGTGATAAGAGAAAGCCTGACCTTGGTTTGTCCCAAATTTATTACCTACCAGTGCTCTGAAGACAGCGGCCACTGACACTGGCCCTCTTGATTGATGGCTAAAGGTGGACTTGCCTTTGCCCACTACCCTCTCCCCTTCAAGGAGGATGGCCTTCATAAACCATAGTGACCAGGGACACACGTTGAATTCTAGAAACTACACCCTCTCCCTGGCCCAGTAGAGTCTGCAGGCCAGCGCAAATACCACAAATGGAGCTGGGGCGGGGAGAGGGGAGCTCTGGTAGTGGACATGGCAGTTCTTGTACTCAGTAGCCGAGTTCTTGAGCTCCCTGGCTAGAACCTTGGTAGACAAAGCGGATAGGATAGGATGAGGCTGGGCCTCAGTGGACTATTGGGATCTCTAATGATATGGGTCCCAGGGTGTTGCTAACCATTTCTGTTCACCCAGCTCTGCTCCAGTGATCTCAGCCAGTTTGGTCAGATTGTCACTGGAATCTTGGTCAAGCCATTTCATTGCCCATAGAATGACTGGCCAGTACAATTTGAAGGACAGTGCTAGGTCAAGAAGGGCCAGGGCCTCTGCAATCTGTGCAGTGGACTGGGATGATAATGGAACTGAGACGAAAGCACCAAGTGTCATCCCAACCATGATGTTGCAGGAGTGGTGGTCCCACTCCATGATTGGGGACTGAAGAGCAAGGGGTAGAAGAGACTTGACCCAGTGATCGCCTAGGTTTAAGTCTCTACTGGGATCATGCCCCCATCTCTCTGAAGTCAGAGTCCCACACCTGATTCCCTGAATTTTGCCTGTTTCAGCCATGGCACTGGGCCAAGAGCTTTGTTCCGTCAGCCCCTGGTAGATAGTACCAGCCCTCCTGGTAGAGAGTAGTTGCTCCAACAATAACTGGTACCAACCCTACCCACCTAGGAGCTCATCCAATTCCTCTAGCCCTGTTGTATGGAGGAAGAAACAGGTCCAGAGAGTTCAGAAAAATAAAGTATCTTATAACCCAGGCTTAGTGCAGGAGAGAAACTTGTATATGACATGCTCATGTGCGCATAAGGTGTTCTATGATGTATAGATAGGATGGCGGTAGAGCCCATTAAGTGTAAATAACATGTACAATGTGTTTGTAAATCTGTATAGCTAGTTGTTGCCCACAGAACACTTTGATTGGTATTTTGTTGAAGTGTGGGGTTCATCATCTACCTGTGGTTGTAATTCGAATACCATGTGAAGGAGATGCATTTTATCAGTTTGTCTTAGTTTTCTGTGGCTTCCAAAACATTGTTTCAAACTTGAGAGCTTAAAGCAACAGAATTGGCTGGGTATGGTGGTATGTGCCCGTAATTCCAGAAGAGGCTGAGGCAGAAGGATCAAAAGTTCAATGCCAGCCTGGGCTAATAAAGCAAGATCTTGTCTCTAAAAGCGAAGTGGTCAAGCATGGTGCTTGTCCATAATCCCAGCAGAAGCCATAGGAAGAATATTGGAAGGTTGTGGCCAGTCTGGTCTACATAGGGAGCTTGAGGACAGCCAAGACTACATAGTGAGACCCTGTCTGTTTCAAAACAACAACAAACTGGTTCATGCTCCTCCTGAGGCTCTGGTGGGAAGCCTGTTCTTGCACTTGCAGCTTGGGATGGCTCTAACCAGTCTAGATGCAAGTACTTTTTAGGTCCATAGTCACATGGCCTATTTTGTATGCTATATTCTCCTCAGTGCCTCTCTGCCCCCCAGCGTGCGTGCGTGCGTGCGTGCGTGTATGTATGTGTGTGTGTGTGTGTGTGTGTGTGTGTGTGTGTGTGTGTAGATAGGTTCTCACTCTAGCCCAGTCCACCCTTGAACTGGCAATCTTGCCACCACACCCAACTTTTTCTGTCTCTGTCTTACTTGGGTATTCGTAATTAGATACAGGAACAGCTACATGGCCCCACTTCCTTTTTGTGGCAGTGCCAGGGATGGGACCCAGTGCCTCTCCAGTGCTAGGCAAGGACTCTACCACTGATCCACACCTAACCTCAACTCCTTATAAAAGTAAGTGTATGCCTGCAGGAGCTAGGACCTGAGATCCTTGGGGGCCACTGTGCAGCTTATCACACTGCTGTTTCTTCAAACATTGTTACAGGATCTGTGACCTATTAATTCCTCAAAGAAATTGTATCAATTGGATTGAAATTTCTCAGCCTCAGCACTATTTTTAAATTTAATCTGGATCTTAGTATTTACTCCATTGCTTGCTTGCATTTTTTTTTCTTTAGTGCTGGCCATCAAACTAGGACCTTGTGAGTTCTAGGCCTTGTAAATGTTAGCTCTGCCCCCAGCAGCTCACTGGTTTCTTAAGTTTAGACCTATGCTGTCCAATCTGGAACCACTGGACTCTGCCTTTTGAGCACTTGAAATGTGGCTAGTTTCAATTGAGATATGCTTTATACACACCAGAATTTGAAGTTAGTATGAAAAAAGAATGTAAAATATATAATTGATAACTTTATATTGATTACATGTTGAAATACTATTTTGGACATACTGAGTTAAATAAAATACATTATTTAAATTAATTTCACCTGTTTTGTTTGAGTTCTTTCTTAAAAGAAGTTGTTTTTAGTTGTACATGTCTAATGTGGGCTTATGCACATGAGTGCAGGTGTCTGAGGAGGCCAGAAGAGGTAGTTAGATCCCTGGAACTGGTATTAACAGACGTGAGCTGTCTCACCTGTATGCTGTGAACTGTCTCGGCCCTGGTTTCTGTTTTTAATCAGACTATTTGAGTTTTTTTGTTTGTTTTCTGGGTATACAGAGGATTGGGTAGATTGCTTACCTAATGTGTTCAATCCCCAGCACAGACAAAACAAATAGATCCTAGATAACACTAAGTGCAGTTAGTGTATACCTATAATCCCAGCACTCAGGAAACTGAAGCAGGGGAGTCATGAGTTCCAGGGGAAAAGAATAGTAAATTCAAACAGAAAATCTTTACTTTTGAATATTAGTATCTTAGTTTTTAATATAATTTCAATTTTTTTTAAGACTTATTTTGTGTATGAGTGCTCTATCTGCATGTACACCTTTATGCCAGAAGAGGGCATCAGATCCCACTATAGGTGGTTGTGAGCCACCATGTGGTTGCTAAGACCTCTAGAGGAGCACCCAGTGCTCTCAACCCTGCGCCATCTCGCTCCAGCCCTGTAATTTCAATTTTATATAATTTTTTCTTCCCTCCTCACCCAGTGCTGGGGACCAAACTCAGAACAGGGAATATGCTGGGGAAAAACAATGAAACTGAGTCCAATTCTCAGTCCCCGATTTTCTTTTGCTGTTAACTGGCACAGGAAGCTTGTGAGAATAAGTCTAACTTATATACACACACACTTTATTCTTTGTTTATTTATTGGTGCTAGGAATTGAACCAAGGATTTGATATGTGTTAGGCAAGCGCTCTGTCACTGAGCTACATCCTCTAAAACATGATGATTTGCCAATTGAATTTTGCAACGAGCTCCAGATACTGCAGGGTTCCCAACTGGGGGCTTTTGATGGAACATGGTCTGCCTTAGGATTCCATGGGCTGTTGTGAAGACAAATTGGTAGAAAAGTCACTGCACAGGAAAGCAACTAGGAAGTGTAAAGCCAGCAATCCCAGGACCCCGGATGTTATGAGTGGGTGCTGGAACCCATGCTGGGGCCGTGGGTGGGGGCGGTTTGAGGTCCACCAGCTCAGTACCAGACATTCAGCGCTGCAGTTCTCCCTGTCCCCTCAGTGTGGCAGCAGAGCCTGAGTGATGGTGTTTCCTGGTGCCGAAAGGAGCAGCTGGTCCTGGATTTGGATGAGGAGGGACTAAGGCCATATAACCTGCCTGAGCTTGAACTTTGCTTCTGCTCTGCACAGCCGGAGTCCTTGTGGCCAGGACTTGTGTTAGGACATACAACCTGGGAACAAAGCAGATGCCATGATATGTTCCATGAGCTGTGACCAGAGATGTGAAAACTGCCTCCCATGTGGATCTCATCGGTCTGCTTCAGGAAGCACTGCTGGAGCTCCTCCGGCAGCACCCAGGTTCCTCGGTTACTAGGGGGTGCCTCTTGGTACTGTTTTCCCAGAGTATGCTGTGTAGCTCCCATGTTTCAGCTCCAGAAAGGAAGCCTGTGACATTGCTCTTGTTCACTGTGAGTAAGTGAGGCTCCCTACTTAATCTGTTGTCCCGTTCAACACCCACAACTTCTACCACCATACTTAGAGTCAAATCCTAATTCTACAGCTGTGTGGTGGGCAAGAGGCAACCTCTCTGGCTTCAGTTTCTTCCTCTGTAAAATGAGTGTAGCCTTAGGCAAGGTGGTGATGGCACATGCCTTTAATCCCAGCACTTACACAGAGAAACTCTGTCTCAGAAAATGAAATTAAAAAATGAGTGTAGCCTTAAAGGAATAGTTGCCTGCACAGAGTAGGTGTTAAATGTTAAATGGGGGATACTACCCCCCCCCCATTTTGCAATAAGAAAATGAAGGTCTGAAGAGAGGAGATGGCAGAAACAGACCACGATTAGAACCTGGATCACAGAAATGAAACGAAACATACAGCCCATTTCCCAGCAGCCCTGTGATGGTATCTAATACCCAGGCCCGGCAGCCTCAAAAGCCTACCCTCCCTGGAAATACACCCCAGTGTGGGTCCTTAGTTCTTGCTCACAGCTTCAACCAAAGAAAGCCCAGCGCAGAGCAGGGAGCAGAGGCTAAGGTCACTTGCTGCCAAGCCTGATGATCTGAGTTTGATCTCCAGAACCCAAATAAAAGGCAGGAAAGACTCCACAGAGCTGTCTTCACATGCTCGACTCCTGCGTGGTAAGTATAAGCATACATACACATGTGCATATGGGCGCGTGCACTAATAAGTGGAATGTTTCTGAAAAGAAAAGGAGTTCAGTCAGCTTCCAGACTGGGGCCTGTGTCAAGCTGAATCCTACCTCAGAAAGATAACTGAATTATCTGCCTTTGACCTTTTCTTTGTAGAGGAGGGTGAAATTCAAGACGGGCTCAGGATCTATTCCAGTCTGGCCTGGAACTCACCATCCTTGGCAAGTTCCTTCTGAGAGCCTGTTTTCCACTCTGTAAAGTGAGGACAGAGAGGGCGCCCCACCCCAGCTTTTCTTTCCTATCCAGCCTCTGGCTGGAGTATGCCGAGCATCAGGTGTGCCCTCCTATCTGTATACCTGGGAAAATGACGTACTACTGCCCTGTGGCTGGCCAGCTGACGCCGGCCTGGCCTGGTATCCCTCTCATCCTCTCATCCCTTAGCTTCCTCTCACACGAAGCCCACCCCACCCTTCCCAGATCTCCTGCACGGATGCTAGGCCTGCCGGGACCCCAGACACCACCTAGAAGCAGCTGCCAGTGTGGTTTAGCCAGCCCCTGGAAGGTTATGCCAAATAAGTGTTAGACCTTTTCCCTGCCCTTCTCTGCTCCTTGGGACTTCCTTGTCATTCTTATGAACCACCCTCTCCTCTTCCCTTTGCAGGGATGTAGACCAAGGTGACCTTGGACCAAGTTATTTCTCTATCCTAGCTCAAGCTCGCTCGCTCTCTCTCTCTCTCTCTCTCTCTCTCTCTCTCTCTCTCTCTCTCTCTCTCTCTCTCTCTCCCTTGTTTTTTATTTTTTGGTTGTGAGCCTAGCCTTTAACGGCTGAGCTATCCCTCCAGCCCTGTTTTTTATTTTTTAAGACAAGGTTTCTCTGTGTATCTCTGGCTGTCCTGGAACTCACTCTGTAGACAAGGCTGGCCTCGAACTCAGAGATTCACCAGCCTCTGCCTCCCTGCTCCTGAGATTAAAGTCCTACACCACCACTGCCCAGCTCTCTCTAAAGTGGATTTACTCTCTCTAAAGTGGAGGGGTTTTAGTACTTACAGGGACTAAAGTTGAAGCATATTAAATTCCTAAGGTGCCATTCCCTGAGGACTCCCTTAGAGGGTGCTGGTTTAGGGAGGGAAATCCCTAGTCACCACGCCATGTCAGCTCTCACTTCTGTGGGATCAATTCCTAAACAGTAGATGGTGATTCTGTGTTATTTGTGTGTGTGTGTGTGTGTGTGTGTGTGTGTGTGTGTGTGTGTGTGTGTGTTCCCAGCTGAAACCTAGCACTTCATGTATAGTAAACATGTATTCTGACCTTAAACTTGCTATGTAGCCAAGTATGGCTTTGAATTTTTAAACTCACAGAGTGCTGAGATGACAAGCATTTAATACCACACCCAGTTTACTTAGTGCTGCAGACTGAATCCAGGGCCTCCTGCATGCTAGGAAAGCTTTCTACCAATTGAGCTGTGTACCCAGCCCTTCTCCCTCTTTTGTGTGACAGTTTTGCTCTATTGTCCAAACTGTCCTGGAACTCATTATGTAGCCCAGTTTGGCCTTGAACTTGCAGTAATCCTCTTGCCTCAGTTCCCAGGGACTCCCAGACTACATCACCTGGCTTGTAGGTTTTGTTGTTTGATTTAGTTTAGCTGTTATTAAGGAGGACTGGAGAGATGACTCATGGCGTAAGAATGCTTCATGCCTGGCGTGGGACTCACACCTTTTGTTCCCAGCACTCAGGAAGCAGAAGCTGACAGAATTCTGCTAGTTTGAGGCCAGCCAAAGCTACATAATGAAAACCTAGCTCAAAAAAAAAGGAAAGAAATATAGCCAGGTGTTGTTACTCACATCTACAATTCCAGCACTTAGGAGGAGGCAGAGGCAAAAAAATTACTGTTCTAGAAAAAGTTCTAAGGCTGTCAGGGCTAGGTGGCAAGGACCTATCTCAAAAAGAGAAACCATGCTGACCCAGAACATACAGAAATCCACCTGCCTTGGACCTGGAGATAGGTTCAACAGTTAAGAGCACTGGCTGCACTTCCAGAGGACCCAGGTTCAATTCCCAGCACCCACATTGGGAATCTAGTAACTGTCTGCAACTCTAGCTCCAGGAGATCTGAAGCCTCTGGCCTCTGCCATCATGTACACATACCCACTGTGACACACACACACACATACACACACACAATTTTAAAGATAAAATAGATCTTTAAAAATCTATTAAAAATATGCTGGCTAGTTTTATGTCAACTTGACATAAGCTTAAAGTTATCTGAAAGAAAGGAACCTTGGTTGAGAAAAATGCCTCCCTAAGATCCTGCTGTAGGGCGTTTTCTTTTCTTTTTTTCTTCGAGACAAGGTTTCTCTGTGTAGTTTTGGTTCCTGTCCTGGATCTCGGCTCTGTAGACCAGGCTGGCCTTGAACTCACAGAGATATGCCTGCCTCTGCCCCTGGAGTGCTGGGATTAAAGGCACTGATTAAAAGCAGTGCGCCGCTGCTGCCCGGCTGGGCATTTTCTTATTAGTGATTGATGAGGGAGGGCCCAGTGCCTTGTGAATGGTGCCAACTGATGGTCCTGGGTTCTATAAGCAAGCTGAGCAAGCCATGGGGGAGCAAGTGAGTAAGCAGCGCCCCTCCATGGCCTCTGCATCAGCTCCTGCCTCCAGGTTCCTGACCTGCTTGAGTTCCTGCCCTCACAGCTTTTGATGATGAACTGTTACACGGAACTGTGAGTGAAATAAACCCTTTCCTCCCCAAGTTGTTTTTGGTCATGGTGTTTCATCACAGCAATAGTGACCCTAAGATAGAGATATAGATCAGTTGGTAGAGTGCTTGCTTACCTAGCATGTGCCGAGTTCTGCATTTGATCCCTCGTATTGTATAAAATGGGGCTTGGTGGTACACACTTACAATCCTAGCAATATGGAGGTAGTAGAAAGCAGATCAGGAGGACAAGTCCAGGCAGGTTATATAGAGAAGCCTCTGTTAAAAGACTCTCTTAAAAAAAAAAAAAAAAAAAAAAAAAAAAAAAAAAAAAAAAAAAGACTATCTTTTAACATGAATGATGTAGCCCAGCAAGACAAATTTTTTCTGTAAAATGAGTGTACTATGGTGGCCTCTGGCTTTTATCCCTAAAGCAAGGGAGAATGTGGTACTTCCTACTCTTGACTGACTAATTTGGAAATCTGTGTGAGGAAATGAAGGAAATTGGGAAGGGGAGTCAACCTCTCAGGGCAACCTGCCTGTAGGAATGCAGCAATCCTTTATATAAACAAACGTTTTTGTGTTCTTAATTGTTGTTGTTGTTTCCTTCCTATTTTTTTTTTCAAGACAGGGTTTGTCTGTGAAACAGCCCTGGCTGTCCTAGAACTTGCTTTGTAGACCAGGCTAGCCTCAAACTCACAGAGATCAGCCTGCCTTTGCCTCCCAAGTGCTGGGATTAAAGGTGTGTGCCGCCACTGCCCGGCACGGATTTTTTTTTTCTTCCTAATTTTTATGTGCTTGGGTATTTTGTCTGTATGCTTGTCTTTGTACCATATTGTGCCCATGGAGGCCGAAAGAGGGTGTCAGATGCCCTGGAACTGGAGTTAGCACGTGTTGTGATTCACCATGTGAGTGCTGGGAATTCAATCCCATCTCTCCAGCCCCAGGATTTAAAATCTTTTCATCTCCTCCACCTGGTAAAATTTTTGCTTACACATGGCCTGAAGAGATGGTCCAGTGGTTAAGAGCACTGGCTGCTCTTCCAGAGGATCTGAGTTCAGTTCCCAGCACTCACTTCAGGCAGCAGACAACCACCTGTAACTCTTGTTCCAAAGGATCCCAGGCTGTTTTCTGGCTTTAATGGGCACCCATATATACATGACAGGCACATGCACATTCATGGATGCAGGCTACATACAGACATATAAACATACACAAAAATAAAAATAAATCTTAAATCTTGAATTTCTTTGCATGAAAGCTTTAATAAGTGGGGGGAGATTTATAGTATATTGGTCCTTGGCAGGCTAGCCAACTTTATTTTTATTTTTATTTTATTCATTTGTCTTGTGCTTGCCAAGGGGGTCAGAAGAGGGTGCTGGATCCCCTGAAATTGTAGTTACAGGTGGCTGTGAGTTTAGCAGGGTGCTAAAACTGAACCTGTTCCTACCTTGAGTCATTTCTCCAGCTGGCTTTGTCAAGAAAGGAAATCATTTCTCATACCTGGGTTACATGAGATGCTGTCTCATTTAAAAAAGAAAAAAAAAAAGAAGAAAGAAGAAAAGAAAAAGAAAAAGGGAAGCCAGGCAGTGGTGGTGCAAGCCCAGCACTCAGGAGGCAGAGGCAAGTGGTAAAGAACCTGAGTTTGAGTCCTGGGACCCACAGTGGAAGGAGAGGACTAACTCCCTAAAATTGTCCTCTGACCACACAATGTGCTGTGGAGTGTAGTCACCCTGGCACCCATGAGCTTGCACCCAAACACGTCTCTCACACACTTATAAACTTTAAATTAAAATTTTAAAAAAAAAAGGAAAAAAATGTTTAAGCTGGGCCTGGTGCTAAACACCTGTAACAGCAGCATATGAGGACGCTAAGGAAGGAAACCTATGAGATCAAGGATGACGTGGGATATGTAACGGGACCAGTCTCAAAAACAAAACCACAGGCCAGGTATGGTGCCAAGTGTGATGGCACACATCTTTAATCCCAGAGCTCTGGAGGCCACTCAGAGTTTAAGGCCAGGCTGCTCCAGGTAGTAAATTCCAGGTCAGTCAGGGCTACCCAGTGAGATCCTATCACAAATAAATAAGTAATGAATAGATAAATAGAACGTTAAAAAAAACATAAAATAAACATCATTGATGCCAGGAGGTGGTAGCGCACACCTTTAATTGCAGCACTCCGGAGGCAGAGCCAGGCGGATCTCTGTGAGTTCCAGGCCAGCCTGGTCTACAGAGCAAGATCCACGATAGGCACCAAAACTACACAGAGAAACCCTGTCTCGAAAAACCAAATTAAAAAAAAAAAAAGTCATTGTTATTGGCCATCAAACAACAGAAGTTATTAGGGTTTTGTTTCGGTGTGTGTGTGTGTGTGTGTGTGTGTGTGTGTGTGTGTGTGTGTGTGACTGCATGTCAAATTGTCAAATTCCTGGGGTTTGATTACCCAGGGATCCTGCTAAACTTTCACCTCAGCATTGAGGGCAGAGAGAGACAGACGATGCTGCTGGTGAGCATGGCTTGAGCAGCCGCAAGCTGGAAACATAACCTGGGGCATGACAAGGACTCCAGCCTAGGCCTCTGAGTTGCTTCTAATGATGCCTGGTGACCAGTGGGGTCTGGTCTTGGTCTGTGCTGGTTGTTCCAGTTTCATCCTCTGTGAACCTGGGGTGATATCGCTGTAAGACGGTGTGATATCTGTGCCTCTCTCAGGAAGCTCTTAAAACCATTAAGCCTGTTGAGACCAGGAGGGGCCCTTTGCTGTCAAGCCAACCACTTTAGCAATAGCACCGGAAAGATCTGTGAGTAGTGAGCCCCAACTCACAGGGCGGGCTGAGCAAAGCTGGTCGTGGGCAGTTTGGTGGTAGCCAAATCCCTGTTGTCGCTGAGCAGCTACCTCAGGGTTAGAGGTCAACTCCTCCTCTCTTGACACAGCTGGGGGGTCGGGAACGGGGCGGGGGTGGGGGAGGAGATCTCTCCCAGCATCGAGCCCCTCAGTTTGCAGGAAAAGGTTCAGCACAGAGGCCATTGTCCAGATGAGAAAAGTCTTGGGAGGTGGGTGGGACAGGAAGAAAGTGGGGGCGGGCGCAGCTTTGTTCTTGGTGTTCCCTGTCGGGATGGGAGGGGGCGGGGGAAAAGCCGGTATCCAGCTCTAGTTCAGCCCATATGCCACCTCCTGCAGCCCTCCGCCCCTTTTCTTTGCCTCACGTCCCTCTCAAGGATCTTCTGAGCCTGTGCTAACCGAACCCTTTGTGTTGAGTCATGAAGAATGTGTAAGAGTTCCCCAAGGGATGAGAGAATTCTTTCTTTTTCTTTTCTTTCTTTCTTTCTTTCTTTCTTTTTTCTTTTTTTTTTTTTTTTGAGACATAGTTTTACTATGTAGCTCTGGCTGGCCTGTAAGTCAGAGAGATCCGCCTGCCTCTGCCTGCCTCCCAAGCGTGGGAAAAAAAGGTGTGCAGCACTACACCCGGTTCCTGGAGAGGAATTCTTTACTAATCCACAGTTGAGACAAAAAGCATGGCGTGGGAGACACACCGTGGAGAATAGACAAAGTAGTGATCCGTGAAAACCGGCCACACAGATTTGGTAATCTCTGGACAAAGGCAAAGACAGTGGATGTGGGGCCCAGAGAGGATAGGGAATTGTCCTCGGCATTATGAGAATGTTCATGTAGCTCAGTCGTGAGTGGAAAACAGCCTTCTCCAAACCACAGCCCAGCTTCCCACGCTGGAGACCCACCTCCGGACTACAAGTCCCAGCAGGCCCCGCAGAGCTGCGCATGCGTCATTGGGGCCCCCTGGCGAGCCCGGCGAGCCCGGGGGCCCGGTCCTGGCCCATTGTCTGGCGAGCAAGGGGCGGCGCGGTACGGCGGGCACGCTCACGTCGTGGGTCGGGCGGGCGTCCGTGGCGTCCCGCGCCTCCGTGCAGGCCCCGCCCCGCGCCTCAGGACCGGCGGGGCCGGGCGCATCCCGCGGCGGTGGCGGCGGCGGGCACAAGATGATGAAGTTTCGGTTCCGGCGGCAGGGTGCCGACCCGCAGCGCGAGAAGCTCAAGCAGGAGCTCTTCGCTTTCCACAAGGTGCGGCGGCGGGGGCGGCGGCGGCCCGGGCGGGCCACGTCGGGCCGCCTCTGCCCTGTGAGCGCCGCGATGCTCGGGCGTGCCTGGCCGGGGTCTCGAGCTGTGCCCCGCGCCGCGCCGTGTTCTTTCTGGCTCCTCTTGTTTCTCTGCCCCTGGGTCTCTGAAGCCCTGGTGTCTCTCCCGGGTGTCCCTTGGGCTCAGTGGGGTCCCCCACCTATCTGCCTTTTACTCTTGGCCTCTTTTCTTTTATCTTTTGGTGTGTGGCCCGGCTCGGCCGAGGGGCACCCAGGGCCAGGTTTTGTTTTTCTTTAACTCCTGGGCGGGCGAGAGTAGGAGAAGTGGGGGGTGGGGCTGGGAAATCCCAGTGCGGAGCCTCCACCCCTCTCCCCACGCTCGACCCTGCCTTGGGGTCCTCAGTCTAGCGGCTGTGCTGGTCTATGTGCCCAGTTGCATTTCAAACCGTGGTTCCTCAGTTTCCCCCGCCATGAAATGAGGCCAGTTTCCTCTTTGTGAATTCTGGATCTCTCTGCAACCGGGCCGGCCTGACCTTACTAAAGTTGGAAAGACGTGAGGCAGAAAGGGGCCCCGGGAAAGGCCGCAGTCCCCACCTCCCCGGCACTGACCAGTATAGAGCCCTGCAAGATTAACTCTGATCTGGAGTGATGGGGCTCGGCTTGGATGTTACTTTTATCGCAGAGCTCGTGCGTACCCCTGCCATTGAGGATTTGATTTCTCATTTCCTTTACACACATGAAAAAATTGAGGTTCAGTAAGGAGTGGGCCGCTCATCTTTCTTGCCTTGCTGTGTGATCACAATGGAGTAGGAGCCTGGAGTTTGGAAGTAGCTACTACCGTCCTGAGCAGAGCTTAGGGACCTTGGACTTCCCTTACATAGGTTTCAGGGGAGTTCCTGCCATGGCTCAGTTTTTCCTGTTGAGGTCCCAGGCAGCAATGATGGGGCTGCCAGGATTCACAGACACAGTGACTGAAAGCCTGCCAAAGACCCGAGAGGAGAGGTTCCCGCAGCTGTGAGCCTCTGCCTTTCCTGGTGTGACCATGAGGGTGAGCCCCCGAAGGAAGAAGAAGGATGGGTCTTAGCTAGTGAATGGAGGTGTGTAGGGGACCTGCACAGATGGGGTGAGGCTCTGAATCAGCTTGGCTCACCCTGGCTGGCGCTACCGAGGCCGGAGTTGAGGGTGAGGCACAATTTGAGTGGGCAGCAGTGATGGGGGATAGGTCATCTTGGGCAAAGGGTTCGATTGCCACAGGGGCTGCTAGGAGATCCCTAGGAAATAGGCCCCAGATTCTTGAGTTTGGGGTTGTGGTCCAAGGGGGAAGACGGACTTTTATCTGGGTGTTGGGTTCAAATCCAGCTCAGACCACAAGTTGCCTGTAGGATGTGCATCTCATGCTAGTTTAATTTGGATTCCTGCCTCTTTGGTGCTATGGACACAGTGGAATCCAAAAGGGGTAACTCTTCATTGAGGGGGGTGTTTAGTCATTGGCAAGAGGATGAGAACAAAAAGCCAAAACAGAAAAGTAAAATACATATTAGTTCACGGGGTTGGCTAATGCTGTGGATAAAACGTGGTGTGATGAGGGTGTGGGAAAGTGGACTGGGATGATGATGTAGGCAGGACCAGCTAGGGAGGCCTTTTGGAGCTGGCCATTTGGGAGTGCCAGGTAAAGCACAGTGTGGCGGGGGAGGGGCAGAAGGAGTGTAGAGGGCGGCAAAGCCCTAGCAAGTGCTGCCTAGCAAAAGAGCAAAGAGCTTTGGGGTAGGAGGAGGCTGAACTGAGATGCCCAGAGAGGGGCCACATGGTGAGGACTTGGCTTTCTTTGGCTGTGGATCAGCAGGGAGCTCCTGGTGGAGGAGGTCGTGATGGCTGGCTGGTTTTCATAGGTGGCTTAGTAAGCACTGGTCCAGGCAAGCAGTGAGTAGGCCTGGAGCGGGGTGTGAGCAGGATGACTTCTTTGTGTCTTAGAGGTAAGACACTAGGGCTCCGGAACTGATCGGCTGTGAGGTGCAAAGGACAGACACTAGATAAGGGATCTAGACTCTCTTCCCTAAGATGATCCTGATGGTGCCCACTCAGGACCGTGGGCACTTGCCATACTGCCATGCTCTAGTGTCTCTGGACACTAGCCTGTGAGCCTGAGGCCAGCTAAAGGAGGTCAGATCCAGACAGGGCATGGCAGTGCTTGTAGGGAAGGGAATTCCCTGACCAACAGGGCTGGTTCATGGCCCTGCTCTCTTGGATGGACTCCACCATCACTGCCAAGTGGAAGCAGGGTGGATGGAGTACCGTGATCAGCCCAAGACTGCGCAGTTAGGCCCTGCCACACAGCTGTGCAGGTGGCTGTCCCATGTGGATGACCTCTTTTATTTACGTATTTATTTTTGCGATGGCATCTCACTGTGTGGCCCATGCTATCTTCTAGCTCAGGATCTTCCTGGCTCAGCCTTCCAAATGCTGAGATTATAGCTGTGTGCTCCCAGGCCATATTTGACATCTCTTGAGGGTATTCATGTCCCAGCCACACTTGGGCATGAGAGGAAGCTGCTTGATTGGTGGGCCAGTGGGAGGAAGCATACCAAAGGAAGGAATAGGTAGTGAAGCTTAGTGTTTAGGGAAGGGTACTGGACCTGGCCTCACAAAGATCAGAGAAGCAGGTAGGGAGCGTCAGCATCAACACCCAACAGTGCTCGGGACCCCAGACGCTATCCCCACTTCTGATGGCCCTGGGATTCTTGTTCTCTGGCTCTCTCCATGTCGGGAGGTGGACAGTCCCTTCAGGGCCAAGTGGAAGCAGAAGTCCCAGGGTGTTTTGCCCATGTAGCCCTCTCCTCCCTCACAGACCGTGGAGCATGGCTTCCCCAACCAGCCCAGCGCCTTGGCCTTCGACCCTGAGCTTCGCATCATGGCCATCGGCACCAGGTCTGGGGCTGTCAAGATGTATCCTTTGCCACTGTGGTGCTCGGGGATTGTGAGGACCTCTCATGTGCCACCCACTTCATGCTGGGATCCTGGCATGGCAGGTGGTTCCTGGAGACAACCTGAAGAGGTTGGCTGTGCCTGTGGTGACTCCTTTCAGAAATGATAGTCTTTCTGTTTGGAGATGGGTGATTGGAGGGGTCACTAGTGTCCACTGGTGTCCCTTGCTGTCTTAGGTGACTCTACCATCATCTTGGCAGCTGTGACTGGGGTAGTTAGGGGTGGCCTGTGGGCCTGATGAGAAGTGAGCATGTGCACACATACACAGATACACACAAATATGGAGATGCATGTGCTCAACCCAGGGGGTGAAGGCAGTGCCAGGCTCGGCGTGGTGAGTGCAACACTGCCCCCATCTGGACCCTGCTGCCAATCAATGGACTGAGTAAGCTGTACAAAGCAGGCATTTTCCTGCAGTCCGGGTGGGGGTGGGGCAACAGGCTGCTGAATGTCTCCTTACCCACCCTGGAAATACCACCCTAACCTGCCTTCAGGAAAACTGAGGTGCAGAGTCTGACTTAAAGAGTTGCTTGGTGAAGGTGCCTACCCTCCCTCTCCTTACCCAGAGCTTAGGGGCACTAGCCAGGTTGGGGTGGGAATATGGCCCAAGGTTTCTGAGGTTGTGTTAGGGAATGTGGCTGGTTGGGGATGTCCTTCCCTCTATTGGGGGCCATTGGGTGTGTGTTGGGACAGTGACCAGGCCTCCACCCAGCTTGCCGCTCCAAGCCCCTGTGGGTGCTGTGTCCCCACTACACTTGCGTGGCTGCAGCTTTGAACTGTGACCACTGGTGTTGGAGGTGTCCACCTCTGAGTCACCCACAGTCTTCACTGCTAGGTGCTTGGAGCTGTCCTGGTGGGAACTGGTTCCTCGAGCTAGTACCGATGACGGGGCCAAAGCCTAGATCCCCCCTTCTCTTCCTTCTTTCCTTTAAATTCCCACAGCCTTGAGCTCCTGAGGTTGGGAAACTGAGGCTGGAAAGTGCCACACTTGGTCTCCGAAGCCTCCCCTCCCCCTGCAGGGCAGGCCTCATCTCCTGGGAGACCCTGCTTCCCGCCAGCTGCCCCTGCCAGCCGCCCCTGCCCTCTCTTTGTCCTCTTTGCCAGGCTCTGCAGGGAGTCCCAGCTCGATATCCAGGCAACAGCTCCTGGCTTGTCACTAGGACAACGTCACTGACCCATCTCTTAGCCCTCTTGGGCCCCTTCAGGCTTTGTTGGCCACCATCAATCCTGGAGTTGTGGGTCTCGGGGCACTTGTTCAAGCAGGTCACCTGTCTTCTAGTCTGTGTTTATCTGTGAAGTGGGCAGTGGAAGCTATTGGCTGCCTGCTCTGGAGGGAGCTTGGGGTTCTTGCCCACAGCTGGAGTTGGCTTGATCTGGTGCTGCTGTGTTCTGGCTAGGCCTCTTGAACCTCTACTGCAAGACACTTGGTCTGTGCAGATGCGTCAGAGGCGTCATTTGTACCATGCTGGAGCCACGGTGCTGAGCAGGTTTTTATTCTTACTCCATCTGCACCAGCTTTGTGCATTTGAGTCATTAGCCTGCTGGATAGATGAGGGCTAGAATGATCTACAGTAGCACCCTACTTGCGGGGACTGTGTGGAGTCTGTGGTAACTTGAGGGTGCAGGAGCAGAATTATTCAGGAAGGGGTCTCATCAGGAGACCGCTGGACTCGTGGATGCAGAGGTCTGGGGAAAGGCCTGTCTGAACTGTCCTGGATTGGCCTGCGTGTGTTTGTCCTTGACAGTCATCTCAGCTATGGTGCACCTGGAGTGGAGTTTACAGGTCTGCATCGGGATGCAGCCACTGTCACCCAGATGCATTTCCTGCCTGGTCAGGTGAACATCTGCCTTCCTCCACCAGCACCAGGTGGTCCCCATCCCCGTGCCCTCCTCCCCTCCAGGCCAGCCCCAATTTGTTCTCTGTTCCCCCCTCCATCAGGGCCGCCTCCTGACCCTGCTAGATGACAGCAGCCTGCATCTGTGGGAGATCGTCCATCATAATGGCTGTGCCCACCTAGAGGAAGGGCTTAGCTTCCAGCCACCCAGCCGGCCCAGTTTTGACAATGCCAGGTACTGGAGGACCAGGCTGGGGCTAGTCACTGGGCAGGGGTATTGGAGAGGTCCTATGAGCCTGCTCTGCTGAGGCAGGGCAGAGACAGTCAGGTTATGGTTCAGGGTGGGGTGTGTGGAGCCCTGCCTGGGTAGAGCCTTACTTGGCAGCCATGTCCTTTAAAGTTAGGCCTAGAGGTATGACTAGCTGAGTTTGAGGCCAGTAGGCAGGGTCTGTGCTTCCTGCTGTGGGAACCTTTAGTTTGGGGGTCCCAGTGAATAAATATGTTATAACCCAACTCCTTAGACCTGCAGCCTGGCACTGTGCTCTCTAGGGGTTTGGGACAGTTCTGTGCCAAGGTGACATCAGCAGTCTCAGGCTAGCCCTGAATTTTCAGTGGTCCTCCAGCCTCGGTCTCCCAAGTGTGGTATTACAGGTGTGTGCCAGCATGCCTGGCCTTCTTCCTGGCTTCTTGAGTTGGGATGGGAGATAGGCTCCTGGTCCATTGGCACATAGCAGGTTGATCGTTGGAGGGTTCTCCAGGATGAGCTCGGTGAGGTGCTAGGAGAATGCTCTAGGTGTACACAGCAGGTCAGGCTTCCCAGGTAAAGGACCTTGCCCACAGGTTAGTTCCTGGGCCATCCCAGTCACAATAGGCAGGGACTGTTTGGGCGCCTGAAGTCTTGAGATGCTTGGAAGACTGGTGTTGGGTACCCTGACTGGGGTAGTGCTCTGATTCTGCCTGAGAGAGGCAGAGTGGTAAGAGGACCTGTGAGTCCTTTGAGACCCAGGGATCTTATTTTTATCCCTTCCTTTGCTGGCATGCTGGGGAATAATTGAGTGGGCTAATTACACTGCACATTGCCTTCCCAGGGTGCCAGCCTCTGCTGTGAACAGGCCCTGTGAGTGCAGAGGGGCACAAGAGAGGCCACAGCAAGCGCCCAGCCCATTCCGCCTTTCCCAGCGGTAGATGGGCTCGGCCTCACTCTGTCCCTCTTTCCTGCAGTGCCCCAGCCAGCCTTACCCGTGTCACTGTGGTCCTGCTGGTAGCTGGCAACACAGCGGCCCTGGGAACTGAGAGTGGCAACATTTTTTTCCTGGACGTTGCCACTCTGACACTGCTTGAGGGGCAGACTATCAGCCCAGATGAGGTCCTGCGCAGGTGAGCAGCAGGTGAGCAGCAGGCAGGAGGAACCTCCCGGTTCTGGGAAGTTCTCCTGACTCTCTGGGGCACTCTCTGCAGTGTGCCAGATGACTACCGGTGTGGGAAGGCTCTGGGCCCTGTGGAGTCACTCCAGGGACATCTGCAAGACCCCACCAAAATCCTCATAGGCTACAGTCGGGGCTTATTGGTCATCTGGAGCCAGGCCACACAGTGTGTGGACCACATTTTCCTGGGTAACCAGGTAAGCAAGGGAAGCCTGCATGCTCCTCATTCCGGGCCCTTCTACACACCTGTCGGCTCATGCCATCCTGTCCTCATCCGTAGCAGCTGGAGAGCCTGTGTTGGGGGCGTGGTGGCAGCACCGTTATCAGCTCACACAGCGATGGCAGCTATGCCATCTGGTCCACAGACACTGGCAGCCCCCCAGCACTGCAGCCCACTGTAGTGACCACACCCTATGGTGAGCACTGGGGAGGCATGAGCCGAGGGTGGGACTGAAGGGCTCCCTGGCCTTGATGAGGGTACTGCCTAGCCAATCCACAGGAGACGGGGGTATTGCTGGGTCTGGGCCACACCTTGGGGAGAGGCACATGGAAGAGGGATGGGAGGTCTGACGCTCTCCCCACCCCCAGGCCCCTTCCCCTGCAAGGCCATCAACAAGATTCTGTGGCGGAGCTGTGAGTCAGGGTAGGTAGAGGGGGCAGTATGGGAGGGGGCTTGTCTGGCTGGGGACTAGAGGATTAGGCTCTGGGTATATAGGGGTAAAGCCCTTACTGGGTTATCCAGCATGTGCCTGGTTCTCCAGGGGCTCCTGGTTCTCATGGCACCTTTCCATTTGCAGAGACCACTTTATCATCTTCAGTGGTGGCATGCCCCGAGCCAGCTATGGTGACCGCCACTGTGTGAGTGTACTGCGAGCAGAGACACTGGTGACCCTGGACTTCACCTCCCGTGTCATTGACTTCTTCACAGTGCACAGCACACAGCCAGAGGATGGTGCGTATTCCGCCTCCCTCATCCCAGCTGGCCCAGTGTGGCTTCAGGCTGAGCTCACTCGCCCAATCCCACAGAATTCGACAACCCTCAGGCCCTAGCTGTGCTTCTGGAGGAGGAGCTGGTGGTGCTGGACCTGCAGACACCAGGCTGGCCAGCTGTGCCTGCCCCTTACCTGGCCCCACTGCATTCATCCGCTATCACCTGCTCTGCCCATGTTGCCAACGTCCCCAGCAAGCTGTGGGCCCGCATTGTAAGTGCTGGTGAGCGGCAGAGCCCGCAGCCTGCCTCCAGTGCCTTGGTGAGTGGAGGTGTCTTGGGACTCGGGGCTAGGGTGGAGGGCGGGGTCCAGCCCACACGGGGGATGGGAATGTGGTAGGAGGAGGAGGAGGAGACGGAGACCTTCGTCTTAACTTGGAGCTCCCCTCTGCTGTCTCCCTTAGAGCTGGCCCATTACTGGGGGCCGGAACTTGGCCCAGGAACCCTCGCAGCATGGGCTGCTACTGACCGGGTAGGTATGGGGTGTGAGTGCAGACAAGGGCCTGCATCTGTGAGGCCTTATTTGCTTCTTGAATGTCTCAGGTTCCTTGGGTGCTGAAGTGCTTGGTGACTCAGGCCTAGTCCTAGCAAATCCAGGTTGTCCCTGAAAGGAAGCCTCCCTAGATTCTGGCTCATAGCCTTAGTTTGCACTTCCTCTTGGCCTGGGACTGAGTTCCAGCACAGCCCGGGCTCCACCCACCTGGCTTGCCACGGACTGGAAAATCTGGGTTGGCCTATGGTGACTCCTCCAGTCAGGTGCTGGAGAGCCAGGCTAGGTCTGGGCACGGGTGACTCAGGCCTGACTGAGTGCCTGCCCCTCCCTCCTGCCTGGGTTGGGACCCTCAGGCCTCTCAAGGCACTGCCCCTTTGGTGATGAGAGCCTGCTGTGGCCTCAGGGGTGAGGGAGAGTGAAGCCCCGGCCACTCTCTAGCTCCTCCTCAGCCGTCTAGGCGGCTCACTGTCTGGGGACCCCCTGGGGCTCTGCATCTGTGTCCCAAGGTTGTACTCTGGTTTGTCTGCTCCCCTCTCTCCCAGCTTCCCCCGCTTTTGACACCCAGCCTTCCTCCTTCGTCACCTGGAAGCCCCCTCGGGCTCATGCTCTTCTGGGTTTGTGGCACCTTTTGTGATCTCAGGGAACCCAGTGCTCCCCTCTGTCTTCTCCTGGTTATCCAGGTGGTCATTCCTGTACCCTCCAACCTATTCAGAGGGCTCAGGGCCTGTGGTGAGTGGCCTGCCGTGCAGTGGGCACTAAGTACCTGTGTATACCGTGGAGCAGGTGCTTGCTGCTGTGTGCAGTACCTTCCAGTTAGTGCTCGGCCTAGGCAGTAAATGCCTGTAGTGGCCGCTGGAAGAATAATTGAGGGGGTGTGGACCTCCCAGCGGGGGCTCTGACACCAACCCTCTCTACAGCCATGAGGATGGCACTGTGCGCTTCTGGGACGCCTCTGGTGTGGCACTCAGGCCACTCTACAAACTGAGCACAGCTGGCCTCTTCCAGACGGACTGTGAACACGCTGACAGCCTGGCCCAGGCTGTGGAGGACGACTGGCCGCCCTTCCGCAAGGTGCCTCTCCTCCCTCTCCCCCCAGGCTTGGCCTTTGAACCTGATATGGTTCTGCCTGGTGTCATCATTCCGTCTTGTCCCCTCAGGTGGGCTGTTTTGACCCCTACAGTGACGACCCCCGCCTGGGAATACAGAAGGTTGCACTTTGCAAGTACACAGCCCAGATGGTGGTGGCTGGCACCGCAGGCCAGGTGGGGTTGGTGTCCCCAGGTGTGACTTTGGGGAGGCTTTCTGCAGGAGGTGGCCCTGCAGGGTGTGGTGGTGAAGTAGAGAAGCCAGTGTGGGCTGTAGGTCAGAGTGAGAATGGAGCACCAGGTAAGGTTGGCCGGGGCGAGGACAAATGGAACTGGGGGGGGACTGCTGTGGCTTGAGTAAGGCTAGGGGAGCCACAGAGGCCAGAGGCTGGGAGCAGGAGTCTGCGTGTGAGATGTGCTCAGCAACAGCAGAGCCTAAGGGGCTTAGTCACAGATTCCCTTTAGTGCCTGACTGTGTGCGGAGGGCTTAGTGTTTGCTCAGGGCTCAGTGGGAGACAGACGCAGGAAAGAGTCAAGGGCTCCAGGAGGGCAGGGCCAGTAGATTAGGTCACCACGGTTTCTTGGCGCTCAGTGAAAGCTTTTGCATATAGTAGGTATTCAGAGGGTACTTGCTGGGTAGGTAAAGGGTACTTGCTCTGGCAGTGTCTGGAGAGGGTCCAGAATGCCCCTCTTCATCTGACTCCTCTGCCTGTTGTGGCCCAGGTGCTTGTGCTGGAGCTCAGTGACGAGCCAGCAGAGCAGGCTGTCAGTGTGGCCAGTGTGGATCTCCTTCAGGATCGTGAGGGCTTCACATGGAAAGGCCATGAGCGGCTGAGCCCACACACGGGGCTGTTGCCTTGGCCTGCGGGATTCCAGCCCCGAATGCTGGTGCAGTGCCTGCCACCAGCGGCTGTCACCGCTGTCACGCTTCATGCCGAGTGGAGCCTTGTGGCCTTTGGTACCAGTCATGGCTTTGGTCTTTTTGACTACCAGCGCAAGAGCCCTGTGCTGGCCAGGTATGTGGTATGAGGTGAGCAGTTAGGGAGCCAAGGCCCCGATAAGATGGTCTGGGGTTCAGTTCCTCTCAGAGGTTGGTGTGGCATAGGCAGGCTGGTTGGGAAAGCTCTTATAATCTCCTTTCATCTGCGAGACAACTGGTCAGCCCCTCCAGCTGCGGGGGCCGTAGGTCCTGGCACCAAGTTGCTCTGGTTCCCTGACCTGGGCTCTGGTAGCTGGCTTCAGGCTAGCAGGAGTGCAGTGTAGCTCCATAGCCCGCTGGCCCTGTCATCCCCAGGTGTACCCTTCACCCCAATGACTCTTTGGCCATGGAGGGGCCGCTGTCTCGGGTGAAATCCCTCAAGAAGTCACTGCGACAGTCATTCCGGCGTATCCGCAAGAGCCGTGTCTCAGGCAAAAAACGGGCTACTGCCGCCAGTAGCAAGGTGAGCTGGGACTGGCTGCCGTCCCCTGCCCTGGCCCAGAGCCCCCAGGTTTGCTCTGTTGCCATGCTCCCCGGTAGTTAACTGGGAAGCAGATGCTTGGACGCAATGCCTGCTGGGTACTGGGCGGAAAGGGCTCTTGAGAGAGCACATCTAAGATCCTCTGGCCCTTCCAGTTGCAGGAGGCCAACGCACAGCTGGCGGAGCAGCCCTGCCCCCACGACGTGGAGATGACACCCGTGCAGCGCCGCATCGAGCCTCGGTCTGCTGACGACTCCCTCTCTGGTGTTGTACGCTGCCTCTACTTTGCTGACACATTCCTTCGAGATGGTGAGACCAGGGTAGGGATGGGGATTGGAGAGGCTAGATAGCCTTTCATGGTGGGGAGTGGCGTTCTGAGCACCTACTTTGTGCTGAGCTATACTTTGGGATGCCTTGGCCACCCGTGTAGCCCAAAGGGGCATACTTTGAGGGTTTGCTGAGTGGGCTGCACAAACCTTGTAGAGTTGAACAGGAAGCAAGGGAGCTGTGGTGAGGTGGGCAGTGAGGGACGGGGTGGCTGAGGCCCTGTGGTGGGCAGGTAGTAGAGGTGTGGGGGCAGGTCAGGCAGGGACTCGTCATCGACTCTGGTAAAAAGTCCCCTCTGTGCCTTAGGTTTGTTGGTGGCTCTTTCGGTTTTTATGTTGTATAATGGTAGTTTGAAACACAGAAATAGTGTACATCACCTACATACTGCAGCTGCCACCCCCAGGTATCTGCTGCCATGTATGCCCTCTCTACACCACACTTTACTCTTTTTTTTTTTTTTTTTCTCCAAGACAGGGTCTCTCTGTTTAACAGTCTTGGCTGTCCTAGAACTCACTCTGTAAACCAGGCTGACCTTGAACTCATGGAGATTCATCTGCCTCTGCTTTCCTAGTGCAGGGATTAAAGATGTGTGCCACCATGCCCGGCTCACACTTTACTCTTTTTTTTTTAAAGATTTTATTTATTCATTTGTTATGTATACAGTGTTCTGCCTTGCATGTATGCCTGCATGCCAGAAGAGGGCACCAGATCTCATTGTTGTGAGCCGTGATGTGGTTGCTGGGAGTTGAACTCAGGACCTCTGGAAGAGCAGCCAGTACTCTAAACCTTTGAGGCATCTCTCCAGCCCCACATGTTACTTTTGTATCTTTGTTTTTGTTTGTTCCTTGCTTTTTAGACAGGGTCTCACCACATAGTCCTGGCTGCCTGGAACATGCTATGTAGATTATGCTGGCCTCAGCTCACAGAGCTCTGTCCCTGCCTCCTGAGTGCTGGGATTAAGGAGTGTGCTACCATGCCCAGCCTTGCAGGGGGAGCTACATTTACTGGGATGAGTTGAGGGTGCAGGTTGATGGGTTGGTGGTATCAGGGACCGGTTTGTGGCCTGATAGCCACCTTGCAGATGTCCTCAAGGTGGCTTATGCCTTTGCATCAGAGCTGTTCTGGTGTCTCAGACTAGCGGGTTGAGACCACACAGCAGGTGTGAGGTAGGAGTGAGCACGAATTCCTGAGATCTGATCCCTGCAAACCGGTTAGGAAATGAAGGGACAGGTGAGAGAAGGGTCTGTGAGGAATGGGGTTCCTCAGGAGGCCCTCCTCACTGTGCTTGTCTCCCACAGCAACCCACCATGGGCCCACCATGTGGGCAGGGACCAACTCGGGCTCTGTATTTGCCTACGCGCTGGAGGTTCCAGCAGCCGCAGCCGGTGGTGAAAAGCGGCCTGAGCAGGCAGTGGAGGCGGTGCTGGGCAAGGAGGTACAGCTCATGCACCGGGCACCTGTGGTGGCCATCGCTGTGTTGGACGGTCGTGGCCGTCCACTGCCTGAGCCCTATGAGGCTTCCCGGGACCTGGCACAGGCCCCTGACATGCAGGGTGGGCACGCTGTGCTCATAGCATCTGAGGAGCAGTTCAAGGTGAGCATCCGTGGGTGACGGAGATCCGTCCAGGCCCCGTCTTGGACCCTTTTGAACCTCTGCTTTGCCCATTTCCCTGCCTGCTGAGACTTAAATCCCTCCTATTCCATCAAAGCCTTCAGCCAGTAGAGGCCCTTGAAGGACCTGGGTGCACCCTAGGCCTGCCAGGACCCCCTAAGGCCTTCTCCCTCATAGCCTTCTCCAAGAGCCCCGTGCGAACCCCTTGAACCCAGTCCCCAGGGACTTAGGGCCTGAAGGGGTACCAGGCCTAGAACATAGGACTGTGTCTAGTTCATCGGCCGTGGGTAGAGATGAGGCACGGCATGAAGCCTGGGCTGAGGGGGATGACTGGTCCAGTGGATGTCATTTTGACATGCACAGTTGGGTTGAGGCCTGCAGGGCCAGGTGGGGGTCTGCAGCTGAGTGAGGCGTGGGTAGGACAAGGCTGCCTAACGCAGACTGCCTGTCACCAGGTGTTCACACTGCCCAAGGTGAGTGCCAAGACCAAGTTCAAACTGACGGCCCATGAAGGCTGCCGTGTGCGCAAGGTCGCCCTGGCCACGTTTGCCAGTGTGATGTCTGAGGACTACGCTGAGACCTGCCTCGCCTGCCTCACCAACTTGGGTGATGTCCACGTCTTCTCTGTGCCTGGCCTGAGGCCTCAGGTGCACTACTCCTGTATCCGGAAGGAGGACATTAGTGGCATCGCTTCCTGTGTCTTCACACGCCATGGTCAGGGTGAGGTGGGGCAGGTGGTTGGGAACAAATGCCGGGTAGAGCAGAAGGCGCAGGCTCTGCTTAGGAATGGAGGAGGTGGCAGCCGAGGGCTGGCAGGGATCAGTCTTCCTTACATGCTCCTTTTCTCCTGCTCACAGGCTTTTACTTGATCTCTCCATCGGAATTTGAGCGCTTCTCCCTCAGTGCTCGTAATATCACAGAGCCACTCTGCTCCCTGGATGTCAGCTGGCCCCGAAATGCCACCCAGCCCAGGTGTGGGAGGAGGGGGCCCCGTCCGCCGTGGGTTCTGCACTCCTGGTGTTAATGCCTGTTCCTGGTTTGGGGATGGGAGGTAGCACCTTTACTAGACCCCAAAACACGCCCATCTGTTTCTGTAGTCTTCAAGACTCACCCAAGCTGAGCCAGGCTAACGGGACCCGAAACATCACCCTGGCGCCAGAGAGCTGTGAAGGAAGCCCTAACTCTGCCCACAGCAAGCGAGCTGGTGAGAGGTCACAGGGATGGGGCAGACATTGGCTTGAGGGTACCTTGGGGAGAGGTCAAGATGTAAGCTCAGTGCTGCTGAGCCAGGCCTGGAAGCTGCCAGCCGAGAGGCCAGAGTGCCTGTGTGTGCACATGCATGTCCAGCTGTGGGCCAGTCTCTGGATGCAGAGATGGATACTGAGAAACACTTCTCCCAGCAGATACCACAGAGCCACCCGAGGCCACACTCTCACCTGTGTCCGTTGACTCGGCAACGAGTGGGGATACCACGCTGGACACGACAGGGGATGTCACAGTGGAATATGTGAAGGATTTCCTGGGGTGAGGCCAGCTGCTCTTTCCCAAGCCTCCATCCCCCAGGGCAACTAGGGGTCTTCCCACCCCAGCCCTTCTGATTACTGCCCCTCCCCAGCTCTCCTGAGGACTCGGAGAAGAACCTTCGGAACCTGGAAGCAGACGAGGCCCGGGCCTACACCCTTCTGGTTAAATGAGGTGCTGTGAGGCAGCCAAGCCTTACCACGCAGCAGCTGCTGTCCCTTGCCCCAGCTGGGACCCTGGCAGGCCTCTGTGATGGTGTCACTCCTGGAAGCCTAGCTGCCTTCCCCTATCTGTCAGAGGCTTAGGGGACCCACAGTCATGATCACCACAGTTCAGCGCTAGAAAGGGGATGTCCTGTCAGCCTTGAGGTCCTGGGCATTTAGAAGGCCACCTCTGACTGGGTGTAGGAACTGAGGCTCATCTGTTTAGTGAGCCCATTTCACAGGACAGTCACTGAGGCTGATAGGTCCTGCCTGTTGAGCCAGCACATGGAGCTTATGTGCCTACCATATCCTGCTATGGACCCAACCTAGCTGGAGCCTGGAGCTATCTGGACCTCGGTAGCTAGTGCCTCTGCACCCTACATTGAGCATAGATACTACCCATACTCTTCTACTTGGTACCCTCCTAGATCCCAAGCAAGCCCATCTCAGGCTATCACTGAAAGAGCCTGGGTTTGTTTCCCCTAGCCATCACCATCTGCTTATCCCAGCCCACTGTCTGCCTTGCCTAGCTCCTTAACATTGAACCCACACCTGTTAACCTGTGGGATCATCTTACTGATGCTGGGCCCTAAAGACGCCCCCAGCTTGAAAGGCAGGTGGAGGCGTGTGCTAGGATCCTGTGTCTTGCACTCCATACTGTCCTTTATTTCTCCTCAAGCAGAGTATTTTTCTAACGCCTGGACTGCGCTGGCCAGTCATTTCTAAAGCAGTTTTGGTACTTGCTCCTGGCCTGTGTGTATGCTCACGTGACTGGAAACTGCTAGGCACTGTAACTGGAGTCAGGCGGGTGTGTGCATGTGTGTGGGGCAGTGAGGATGGGCTTCCTGTAGACTCCACCTTGGGCTTTTCTGTCTTTTTTTAAAAACTAGTTTTAATATTAAAAGTACTGATTTTTTAATATTGAAAATAAAAGCATTTAATATCTTTTAAACTGCATCTGCTGCACACATGTGGACACACTGGTGGGGCTTGCAGGATGTGGGCAAGACTGGTGGGTAGCCGAAGCAGGTGCTGGGAGGCCTCTTCTTCCTCGCTGAGTCTGAGGTCAGGTGCCGCCTAGGCTGGGGCTTGGCGGAAGGCGCTCCAGGCGTGGAAGCAGCGGGTGAAAGGCCGCTGCTCATTGCCTTTGCGGACCAGGCGCAGGCGGCGTGGCCGCTCGTTTTCTTTAGAGCGTGTGTGCTGGATGTACACCTGGTAAGGAAGACAGTGGGCCTGGGTAGTCCTCCGAGTCCTGCTGGACTGCCCAGTGCCCCTTCCCATGCTTCTGCCCAGGATGACGGAGGGGGCGGGTGGTCCTGAAGTCATCAGGCTGGCCTTAGTATGTCCCTTTCTTACCTGGCAAGCCTTCAGACTCAGTTTGATCTCCACTTGACTTGTCTGGGTTCCAACCCACATGTAGACCTGAGGATAAGGTGGAGGAAATGGTCACATGGGTGTCTTGTCCTTTTTGGTGTTTTGTAGTGCTCGAAATTGAACCCAGGGCCTTTGTATATGCTACTCAAGTGCTCCACATGTGGCTGGTGGGAATGCTTACCTCTGGCCCCACTATTTCCATCTACAACTCTATCTAGCAGGCAGGGTCTGAGGTGGGGGACTGACTTACTTCCTGGCCATTGTCTAGCAACATGATGTCATCATCTGCCAGGTCATCTTGGCAGAAGTCAGAGCACTTCTCAGTCACTGCGAAGTAGCCCTTCTCATTGGAGCACCTGAAGGGCAACGGTCAAGGTGAAGGTGAGGGTCAGAACTAACACAGCCGGAGAAGGGCTCAGGGCACTCACCCGAAGAGCCCTGTGCGCTCCAGGTACTCTGCATCATCGTCACAGGGCTTGTGCCCCAGTGCCTACGCAGAAGCTAGAGGGCTCAGGGCACTCACCTGAAGAGCCTCGTGTGCTTCATGTACTCTGCGTCATCGTCATAGGGTTTCTGTGCACCAATGCCTACCCAGAAGAAGTTCTCTGGCTCCTCACCTTCGTTGATGACCTGTGGGGAGGAAGGGTCAGCCAGGGCCCTCACCGGCTCCCACCTTCCTGCCTGCCCCCACCCCTGTCACCTGTTTGCTGTAGGAAGTGTCAAACATGGTGTTGAGGATGTCTTCTGCCAGCTTGGCTTCATCAGGGTCTGAGGCCCGGCCCACCCAGGCATACACAATACCTTGGTTGTCCTCACTTTCAAAGGGGACCTGTGGTGTGCACAGGGGCTTGAGTCAGGTCTAGAGTCTTGCCCACCACCACCTGCTCTGCTATCCTGCCCACAGCCTCACCTTGAGGATGAAGCAGAACTCAGAGTTGAGAAGGCTGGAGTCAGTGTTGATCTGGATGCACCTAGGGGAAGGGGGGGGGCGGATCAGCAGTGATACCCCCACCATGGAATCCTGCCCTCTCCCAAGCCAGGTACCCACCGAGTGCAGAGGGCGCTACCATTGGTACGGATCTGATAGAGGCTCGGCTGAAGGGTGCCCTGAGCCACCTTCCTCTTGCCCCGGTGGATGATGAACTTCCTTTTGAAATGGGACAGGAACTTGGGGTTCTCCTGCTGCTGTGTCATACGTACTACCTGGGGGTCAGAAGGAAGTTCTCGGTAGTTCCTTAGACTCTACCTGCTCTTCAAGGGTCAAGACTCCTCAGGTCTGGCTTGCGCACGCTACCGTCCCAACCGTAGGCTACGGGGCGCACCTCCAGCTTGCCAGGGAACAGGCTCTCGAACTTCTTCTGCAGACTGAAGGTGAACGTGAGCCAGCCCATGTTGGAGGCCTCCCGGCCCTGCCAGAAGTACACGATGCACTGGAAATCCTCCTCCGGCTGCTTCTCCTCAGGCTCAGCCACTGCCTCCTCCCCTTCCGCGCCCTCGGCCTTCCCCTTGTCTTCCATCTTCTCTTCCTCCTCGTACTCCACAGGGACCCAGTACCTGTGGATTAGACAGTGGTGAGCAGGGGTTGCACAGGGCAGAGGACAGAGGGTGAAGTAGTTCTGTGCACCTGCAGAGGAAGACATAGCAGTCCTGTGTGTAGAAGTGGCCAAACTCCTCCTCCGGCAGTCGAGTGAACTTCCTGCCTTCCAGCACGAAGCCTTCCATGCCATCCAGGTCCTCATTCCATTCCTCCATCAGCTGCTCTGCCTGTCATCCCGTCCCCAAGTGAGGTCTGAGCACCATGCTGTGCAGCGCCCCCCACCTCTCACATCCCCCCCCGCCCCCCGCCCCCACCCCCACCCCCACCCCACCCCACCCCCCCCCCCCCCCCCCCCCCCGGCCCAGGCTTCACCCCACCTCAGCCAGTGCCATTGGTGGCTGCCGAGGTAGGAAGAGCGCAGTGAGGTCAGCCTTCATCTGGTCTTTCTTCTCAGTGTCACGCTTCACCTTCCCAGAGAGCCCCTGGCCCTGCAGCACGGCTTCTGCATTCCGAGTGTAGTCGACAGTCAACACGTCGTCCCAGTTTTTGAACTTGGCCTTGAACACCTGTGGAGAACAGTATAATACCGTAACTGGAGAGAGGTACACAGCACAGTTAAGGTGGGGGCTGAAGGATTCAATAGAGGTTTGGAAAAGCTGGTCAGAGCTCAAAGGTGGGGTCCAAACAGGAGCTGGAGATGACTTGGAAAGGTGGAGCTTAGCAAAAAGAAGTGGGGACAGGCGACAGAGTGGACGGTTCTGCAAAGATAAGGTGGACTTGGGCCCACCTCTGCAGCACAGCAGTGCCAGTAGAGGGGTGAGGGCACGGTGGGCAGTGGAAGGCAAGCCACTGGCTGTGGGCGTGGGGACATACCTGAGCCTCGGTGCCCTCCAGGCTGCGGCTGACCACTGCATGGCGCGGCCGGTGCAGCATCCCACACAGCTCCTGGCCCAGTTTCAGCGCAGCAGCACGCACTAGTCGTGGGGACTTGCGGCCAAGCCAGATGAATACATCAGACCAGCAGTCCAGGATGTACACGCACCGTGTGTCTAGTAGGCTCTGCAGCTGTAGACAGAGGTGAGAGGTCAGCACCCGGCCTACACACAGACTGGACCAGGCCCACCTCCTGCCTCCTCACCAGTCTCACTGACCCAGGCCCACCTCCTGCCTCCTCACCAGTCTCACTGACCCAGGCCCACCTCCTGCCTCCTCACCAGTCTCACTGACCCAGGCCCACCTCCTGCCTCCTCACCAGTCTCACTGACCCAGGCCCACCTCCTGCCTCCTCACCAATCTCATTCCTGGCATCAATTCCATCTTGGGCCGTTTCCTGTGTTCCACTGAGAGCTTGTAGTTGATCTGGGGAAGCTCCAGGTAGCCCAGGCCCAGGCCCACCTGGCAGGAGAAAGAGATGGCTATGGCAGACCCCACATTTGCCCTGACTTGGGGCCTGGCTCCCCACCTTGCTATTTGGACCTGTTTCCCTCCAAACTGAACCACATTTTTAAGGACTTCCTACCAGTGGAAGGATCTAGGGTTTGCTGGGCTTTTTTCTAGTAATAAGGAGCAGTACCAGGGGTTTGCCCACACAGGCAAATGCTCTACTGCAGAGTCCCACTGAGAACCAGTGGAAGGCTTTAACTTTTTAATTACTATATTTAACTAGGCATGTTTTGCCTGTTTATACATAATGTGCATCACATGTATCCTTGGTGCTTATGGAGGGAAGCCAGAAGGCAGTGTTGGATTCTGTAACCAGAGCAGCCATGTGGGTCCTGGGACTTGGATCCAGGTCCTTTGGAAGAAAAGTGCTCTTAACCACTAGGCCAGCTCTGCAGTCCTGGAATTGCTTGTTAGGTTTTTGTCTTTTCGAGACAGGGTTTCTCTGTGTAGCCCCGGCTGTCCTGGAACTGGATTTGCAGACCAGTCTGGCCTTGAACTCTGAGAGATCCGCCTGCCTCTGCCTCCCAAGAGCTGGGATTAAAGGTGTGCACCACCACTACCTAGCTGGAAGGGCTTTTAAATGCATGTTTTCCTTGCTTGCCCAATCTGGGTCCTTACTGTTGTTTCTGTTTTCTTTTCTTTTCTTTTTTTTTTTTTTTTTTGGTTTTTCAAGACAGGGTTTCTCTGTGTAGTTTTGGTGCCTGTCCTGGATCTCGCTCTGTAGACCAGGCTAGCCTCGAACTCACAGAGATCCACCTGCCTCTGCCTCCTGAGTGCTGGGATTAAAGGCGTGCGCCACCACCGCCCGGCTTGTTTCTGATTTCTTAACTTGTCTCTTTCCTGCTCATAAGAACCGTAGTCTCCTACCACTCACAAAACTAAGGCCAACTTCTCAGCTCTGGTACCCAGGAGCTTCTGGCCCACCTTCGAGAAGAGCGTGCCAGCTCCATCCTCAAAGCTGGCTTCCAGACTGAGCTCCTTGTCCAGAAGAATGCCCTCTTCTCCCAAAGCCCATAGCACAACCGACCGACTGCAGTCAGGCTTACTCTGTACGCCAGCACCGTGACTCACCTTGTATAGCTTGGGTTGGGGTGGCCAAAAGTCATCAGGCACATGCTTCTTGATCTCAGAGGGCTCCCCACCCAGCACCCCCCAGAACTCTGGGGGCTCTTGGCCCTGCATCAGGAGTGTGATCTCTGCTTTCCCTTTCCGTTCATTCTTGTTAATTTTCTCTGCAAAGAGCCTGAGGACAGATGCAAAGCCCTCAGCAAGGCCATGATGTTCTTAGGGATACCTTCCTTCGCCTAGAACATTCCATAAGACCCACCTACCTGGCCTTGGTGGTGTTGCTCAGTGTGGCCTGGGCCCCCCGCCACACATAGATGTCCAGTCCTCGGTCCAGGAGGAACACGTATCTGGATAGGACAGCAAGAGCTGTAATGTAACTCCCTGTGCCTGACCCGTAAGGTGGGGCTCTGGCCCTTTTTGGGTAGAGCCCAGGCTTTTCTTCCAAGCTCTGAGGGAAGTTAAGATTGCTTCCTCATAGGTGGGAAGGCAACTAAAGGCAAGTACCCCTACTTCCTCATAGGTGGGAAGGCAACTG